CAGAAAGCGAAATTTGAATATCAGACACTTAGGTGCAAGATTATGCCAAAATTTAATGTTTTCCGTCCCGTTTTTGCTCATTTCTCGGAGGCAAAATGAGCACTTTTTAGCAAGTGAACCATCGATAAGGAAATGTTGGCAGTTTTCTCAAAAAATGCTTGAATTCAAGAAGTTTTAGATTTTCGTGGTTTCTTTTGAGTTGCAAAATCCACTTGAACATGACGCTGCTTTTTTAGAAGTTTCTCAAGAACCATTCGAGCCAGAGAATTCGTTTTGGCATCGTTGGATAGAGAATTGAATAGGGGGGGGGGTCATGACCCCCATGACCCCCCCCTAGATCCGCCCTTAAAATAGATAGGGGCTAATTGATCTGTTTAATTTTAAAACGCCTACAATTACAAAATGACTCAGTTAATTGTACCAAAGCAAATAAATCTTCTGCTTATTATCGGCGGCACCCATCAAGTGAAACAAATAATTTAATACTGGGAAAAACGTGAAATAGAAGTTTTTATTAACACGGGTTGGTTGTGGGTTATAGAAATGTCTTGAATCAGTGCCAAAGGAAAAATCTATTCAGTTTAGCGTTTATCACTGAAGCAGCCTGTGCAGGCAATTTGAGTGAATGAACCAACAGCTGCTTAAGGGCTGACTTTTTATAAAACGTTACATGGTTAGCATACAAAATCTATCATACGCACTTATGAACGAATGAATCTTAAAACCATTACATACAGCTATAGGCTGAAAAACCATTCATTTATAATCACAGTTAGCTATAATACATTACAAAACGAAATATACAACTTGCGGAAACGTATAATAATAAACTAAATAAACAGCATTAGTAACTACAAAAGGCCCCCTATCCTCATAACAAACATATTTGCTTAATGCTGAATGATTAATGAGCATTCTAAAAATCACTTTCTAATGGTGGAGCGTGCCCTGGTTTTCTTCTGCTAGACGGTAGACTGTCCATGGATTGATACTGATCTGAAGAATCAGAATCTACAGTAATTCGTGACGCCCTTCTTTCTTCTTCAGACTTCCTCCGCCTGCGCTTTCGCCGTATACGATTCTTCTTGGTAATGTCCCCGTTGCTGCCTCTAAGGCTTCCTCTAGAGCCGAAACTGTGCGCACTCCCCGCCAAACTTAAATGCGAAGCATCTAATCTGGGTAGTAAAAGAGCCTCATTGTAAGACGGGGGCCCTTGCAGTTCCCTTGGGTCTGGAGCATTTCTATCCTCGTCGTCTTGCATTTCCCTTTGACGCTCCTGCATTCGGCGTAGAGCTTCCCGCTCCTCAGTCCTCCTGGTCTCCTCCTCAATCCGAACACGCTGATCTTGAAGACTTCTTATCTTCTTCAGCACCAAAAGAGCGAAAAGAGCCAACACCATAGAAATAACGATCCCCAGAGAATAGTACCACATGGTGTCTCTGGTGATTTGATGAGGATACCATTCGGATTCGCATGCCTGCTCCCAAGTTTTCCCTGTAAATATTTTCCATTGCATACGAAATAAAATAGTTAAACAAATATACCTTCGACTTTCTCTGGCGAGTTGCAAATCAAATCGTCTAAATCATTTGCACTGTAAGTGAGCATCCACTCAAACATATGCTTGAGCTGGTCGCAACTGCACCTCCAAGGATTATCGGTAATAACAGTCTGCAGAGTTCTTGGGAAAAATGAAGGATCAATCGTTGTGAGAGCATTGCTGGCCAAATTCAACTCCCTCAGTTGGATCATTTCCGCAAACGTTTGATTGTTCAAAGTGTTCAGGCGACAGAAACTTACATCCAGCTTTCCAAGTTTCGTTGCAATCATTCTATCTGGAAGCCTCGTGATGAGGTTTCGCGCTAGTATTAGAGTCACTAAATTGGGCATCAAGATCAAGCTGTATGTGTTGATATATTTTATTTCACAGAAGCTGGCCGTAAGCATTTCAAGCGAATTGCTGCTGATGTTGTCCAAACTTTTGATGTAGTTATGGGATAGATTCAAGTAGATCAATGAGGGGTTACTGCTGAACAGTCTTTCTCCTATCTGATATATTTTGTTGTAGGACAAATCGATGGAAATTATCTGAAAGGACCCAGTGAAACAACAAGCAGCAAACGATTGATACTCCAACTTACTTGGTTCAGCTCCTCAAACGCTTGTTCGTGTAGAAAGGAGATTGCATTGCTTGATAGATTCAGGAACTGCAAGCTGCTAGAGTTTGCAAAGCTTCTTCCCACGATCTTCTTCAAAAAATTTCCTGATAGATCCAATCGGAATAATCGATTCATGTATCCGCTCGGCACTTGCTCCAGCATACTATTGGAGAGATCGATATATAAAACGCTAGACGAATGGCATGCAAGTCGCCTCAGGTGAATGTTTTCATTTAAAATTAGCGTTTCTAAACTGGTCGTTGAGAAAAACGCATTCTCATCTAAATAGCTCAGACGGGTGCTACTTAAATCCATCAGCTTCAAGTTCTTCAGTTTGAACGAGTCATTAATGCTGGATATTGGATTGTCTGATAGGTACAACTCCTTCAAGTTGCTCAATCGATTGAAAACATCTACAGGAATAACCTTCATTGAACAATTGGTCAATCGGAGTACTTCCAACGATTGAATATGCAAATGATTTGAATATCTAGGAATGCTTCTTAGCGGGTTATTAGATAAATCCAGAAACCGCAGCTTCTTCATTGGCAGAAAAGCACTGGACTGTATATCTTTCCAATCATGGAATAAGTTGAACGCAAAGTCAATCATCTCCACCTGGCCTAAGCCTTGAAGATCCACGAACTTCATAGTGGCTATTTTGTTATGCGACATGTTCAGGTACTTTAACTGGACGAAATTGCTCATACCAGTGGGAAATGCTTCAAACTCATTGTAGGATAAGTCCAAGCTGCTTACCTGGAACAAAATAGCTAAGTTACAAAAGCAGTCGGACAACAAGGCCGGAAATTTCGCCAAATTAGCAGATTTTTGACGCACTGGGAGCATGATTTTGTCATATAACTGGCCAACTTCGGGGCGACCAAACTTAACTTCTATCTCTTACTTACACTAATAGTTTTGGATGAAACCCAGTTAATTTAAGACTGTTCTTACTAGGATCTTACATCAGTTCAGATATTTTCAACAGTTTGAAGATATACAAAATGTTTCATGTTCCTACGCCTAGTATTCGTGCGTCCTACTCTGATCTTCAATTAGCGAGTTTGAAGAACGCTCTAGTAAAAGCTCAGTTTTTTCTGAGCTTTCAAAATATTTCTTCCCAGTTCTGCCTTATTAAGGGTTTAGTAATTTTCGTAAAACAACGAATCAATAGTCTGTTGCATCCTGTAGATTAATATTTTGGGAAAAGCAACCTTGAGTGAAGTAGGCCTGGGTAACTCAGTTCCGTCGCTGAGAAAATGTTGATGGCTTTTTTTTTACTTGTTTTTAGATTTATTTTAAGGGCTTTGTTAATATTTTTTGAATTTTTTAGTTTTAGCCAAGTTTCTCTTTCAAGTTTTATTTAAAAATTCTGACAATCTTAAGTATTTTCTACGAAAAATTATGAAATAAATTTCGAATCCTTCGTCGCTTCCAGATTCGAATTTGGATCCCAAATCAAATAATTTTCTATCAAAAAATTAACAGAATCAGCGAAAGTTTATAACAGATTATTTGGAAATCTCGGCACCTCCATACCTGTGAAGACTGTAAGAGTTTGTTTAAAAAATTCTGGTTTTTTAGTTTTCACTTAATTGATTTTTGCTTCACTTTCGACTCAAAAACGCTCTATTTTGTAGAGTTTCCCTTAAAAATACTGACGATCTGAAAGACTTTTACGCGAAAAAATTCAAGATAAATTTATAGCTTTGTAAAAATTTGAGAAAAACTTTTTTCAACGTCGAATCCGGGACCAAAACGAAAATAAATTCCTCCATACCCCTGAAGACTGTAGAGTTTGTTAAAAAAAATGTGTTTTTTTAGTTTTGACTGAATTGTTTTTTGCTTCACTTTCGACTCAAAAACGCTCTATTTTGCAGAGGTTCACTTAAAAATACTGACGATCTGGAGGACTTTTACGCGAAAAAAATCAATTCGGGACAAAAACGAAAATAAATTCCTCCATACCCCTGAAGACTGTGGAGTTTGTTAAAAAAATGTGGTTTTTTAGTTTTGACTGATTTTTTTTTGCTTTACTTTCTACTCAAAAACGTTCTATTTTGTAGACTTTCACTTAAAAATACTGACGATCTGGATGTTTTTTAAGCCAAAAATTACAGGATAACGAAAATAAATTCCTCCAGTTTTTCTCCGAAAACCATTAAGGTTACCGACTGCGATTACCTGGTCGGTAATCGCTTTTGCCGATATATTGCCTACGAAAAATGAAAATACCCATTCAATGCTAACACACCTTACTTTCCCGTAGCTGATCATTTAGATCAGTTAGATGAGAGTTATGGGCAGTCGCCTATAAATGATCAAAATCAACGTTTTTGCGAAAAATTTCAAAATTTCTTTCTTTCACCGATGAAATTACCATATTGGTGCTTGGTTGCCTGCATGATACTTTCATTGAATGTTTCGTTATTTCATACAGAAATAATGCAATTAGGTTTGCCAGGTGTGAGACCAACGCAAGTAACCTATAGGAGCAAGTACGTAGGTATAATTTAAAAATCAAGAAACGAGAAAGTTTGAAATTATAATAAGCAGTACCGCAGTGCCAATGTTATTAACACTCTGTTACGGGAGTTCTGCGCGAAGCTTTCAATTCAATAATACATTTTGTAAAATACTTAAAATTCAGTTGATTAAGAGCAGTTTTCTTCTATTTGTCGGGCTTTTAGGCTGTTGTGGAAAAGAACTTCTTCCAGAGCGAAAGTTTCGCTAGCACGAGTAGCTTGCATCCTCAATTCGCTTTTTTGAAGACGGAAGTAATTGGACGCTAGAGCTTGAATGGTTTCAAGCTAAATACTTTTAAAATGCTTTTCCAGCTCGGTCTAAAAGCCCGAAAACTAACCACCAATTTGAGGAACTGACTGCGGAAGTTTAACTCTTTCGATATTTGCACAATCAGTCAAATAGCTAGTGGGGTTCGAACGACACTTTCCAGAAATGTCTTAAAATATAATAATTTTTAATGTTTAATCATAATTTTGAGAAAAGTATGCACCATTTTTGCCGTTCAACAAAACTGTTATTTAACGCCATAAATAAAATGTTATCCATCGGATCTAGTCATTCGAAAGTCCTTCTATTTATCTAATCATATAGCAGCAACATAAAAGCATATATTTATATATATATTAATTACTATGAATTGTCAATATTAGGCGCGTCTGATCCCCACATGCATTACATAAATAATAAAAAAGCAGTTTCATTAAAAGTAACGGATATTGTACATCATCATTTTATTATTAACCACATCCTTTAACGCTGCGTTTTCGGCAAACATTTGCATGATGGCTCATCGGTGTTCTAATTACCTTTGCGCTGGATTAGCGATATATTTCGATATTAATTTCAACTAAGCATGGAAGTTTGCTAACGAAACGTGCTTGAAACATTGCATTTGGTAGAATAACGTAGTGAAATTACGTTTCAGGAACGTTCTATTTAGCACGAGAAAGTAAGTCGAAAGTGCGATAAAGCGCCAAACTAGAATGGAGAGCTAAAGGCTAAAGCATTTAGCCGATTTAAATCAGTTTAATAGCCAAATAGAACTAGACAGAGTGATGTTTTTTCCGGAAAAACTAACATGCGTCTCGCTGGATAAGCCCCTGAAATTCTGAATAAAATCTAATTAATTCCGCAGATTTAGAAAAAATATACATTTTCTAACAGATTTAAGATCTGATAGTTCAAAAACTCAGGCTTGGACTTCTGATTAAATTTCCCCTAGGTTTTGTCAAAACGAATTCTGTGGCTCAAATGGGGCTAGAGAAACTTCGAAAAATACAGCGTCGTGTTTGAGTCGATTTTGCAACTCAGAAAAAAAACACGCAACTTCTTTAATTCTAGAGTTTTTTGGAAAAACTGCCAAAATTTCCTTATCGATAGTTCCCCTTCTAAAAAGGTAATTTAGTTCTCTCTTCAATGATGTAAAAATGAGGGTTCTTGTTTGTTCAACAACATGTGCGAAGAAATTCAGGCAGTTTTGACCCAGAAAGCGAAATTTGAATATCAGGATTTAGGTGCAATATTATGCTAAAATTTCTCGGAGGCGAAATGAGCAAAAACGGGACGAAAAACATGAAATTTTGGCATAATCTTGCATCTATGTGTCTGATATTCAAATTTCACTTTCGGGATCAAAACTGCCTGAATTTCTTTGCACATATTGTTTTTCTAATTTCATAGACATCAAAAGATTGAATTTATACTACATGACCCCCCTCTGACTTGAAAGCTGGATCCGCCACTGCATTATACAGGGTCCCAGAAATACCCATAAATTTAGGGGCAAACAAGGGAGTTCGAAATGGAAGACGTCAATCTTTACTTACTAAAATTCGGACGCCACTGATTTTCCAAAGCATAAAAAATACATCTAAATCGACTTCAATTCTTAAGAAAAATGCACTCTTTTATTTCTGTCGTAAGACCAACCGTTTTCGGGTAAAAAAACATTTTCAAGCTGAGAATCTAGGGTCAAGCTGCAAAATACTTCATTGGCGCTGCTGTAGGGCTGAGAAGTGTATTGGTGGCAAAAGCAATAATTTTCAACAACAATTATAAATACATTTAAGACTGTTATAAATGTAAGTAATTTTGTTTAGTTTATTGATTTACTATTGGTTCATAATGTGAAATTTTAACATCAATTTTTTTTTACCGGAAAACGGTTAGTCGTACGACAGAAATGAGAATTTTTTTTTCTTCAAAATTTTTTAGTTTTGCAGAAATTTATACTTTTGTAAAGTTTGACGACTCTGTTGATTTATAAGACAAAGCTTTTCCGGATAGGTGCATGTATATTCGGATTTTTCTCATATTTGAGCAAGGTCTATTTACCCCTGAATGTACGGGGCCTATTTCTGAGACACGCTGTATGTATATTGCTGTAACTGAAATAGCGATTTTTTAATAAACTTTTGAGTATTTGAACTCAGTGATTCAGTTTCTATTCTAATTCCCTGAATGAATTCAAATTAAATAAGTTGATAGCCATGAGGCAAATCAGAAATTGAGTCATCCTTGCTCTTCAACGTTGTTGATATTAAAAAATACTTATTTTAATGGGAAATTTACTCATCCCAGACTGGGAAGTACAGTTTTATACCTTTTCCATTTGCGCGCTTTTAAGACCATTGTCGATTCATTAGCAAACCAGCTAATTTTCCCAACTAATCACCGAAATGTGAACTTTTCCCCTATTACTTCCTGATTAAACAATGTAAATTATTATTCGATTAACATCGACCAACACATAGTTCTGAGGCGTATTTTGCTAATTTGGAAGTATTCTCAAATTATATACAGCTCGATTTAGAGCCAGAAACAATCGCAGCTGCAAAGAAAACATGTATGACTTGGAAATTTGATAAGGTCTATAATTATCTGCTTAGTTATTTATATGCCCTTAAATGTTCAATAAGTGCGTGATTAGTAAATGATAAATCTGAAACTTACGTTCATATCAATATAGCTGGGTAATTCTGTAAGACCGCTGTTCTGGCAACTGGTAGTCTCATAGTCACAAAGGCACATTTCTGGACACTGATTTAATATGGAGTAACTGTATACCAGAGGAAGCAGCCACAGCACCCACAACATCCTTTTATAACTGATCAGGTGTACAACCATTTTATAAGTTAAACGGAAATTTTCTTAATAATACATTGTAAAAATTGCACATTTTTAAATATCCCGGCCTATATCCAGGTGTTAAAACCCACTTTATAGATTCACATATTTTCAGCCCAGTAATTATTATGATACTACTTTATTACCGACGTTATAGGTACCTTAGCGCTTTGTATTTGATCTGAGTCAACATGAGATTGGGGAGATAATTGTGAGATAAGACCAAGTGTGACATAGGAACTAAGGTTACTTAGATATGCTCAAAAAAGTATTTTTCACCGAAATTACTGTACCTACATATCGATATAATTCAATTATCATATGATTACCTGCAAGTTCTAGATTAATATACGAATCGGAACATCAATGTTCAAAGCGTCCAATGATAACGATAATACTTAGATTAATTAAATTAGTTACACTGACACACTAAAAGGGGCCGCATTAACATCACGATAAAGTAACAATACTACAGTATGGTCAAATTAAAAACCAACCAACAGCGCTACTGTTGGGCTACTTTGAATGAAACAATTTCAAGAAAAAGCGCCTACAGTCGAGACCTAAATCTGAGCTCAATGTGAATGAAAGTAAAGTACTTAGTATAGATGAATTATTTTTCTGATGTCTAAGTGTCTAGTAGTATTTTTATTAAAAGCGCATCTATTGAAAACCCGTTAAAGTCCCCTAAGTCGCGCAATTGTTCAAAAACATTCAGCAAAGCAAACGCACCTGAAGATGGTTTTCCAGTAAAGCTAAACAACTCGACATAATAGTAAACACATACTTACATGGTTCCAGTGACTGGAACCAATGGAATAAAATTATAATAAATCAGCTTTCCCTATGAACTTTTTGCGCAATAAACAGAAAATATTAAACGCACAGTGGGGGGAAACTTTCAAATCAACTCCTTAATATCCAGCAAGAAAAAACCAATGCCAAAAAAATAATCCCGTTCAACAGACAACTGAAGAAAGAACGAATGCGCTTTTCTGGCGAATTAAGTTTCAGCCAAAATCCAAAGACAACGGCGCAATTTGCAATTAGGTGGATTCAGGAATTGTTCAAAATCAAACCAATGTTAATGTAGTGGAACTTTATTTTGGAAATAAACATAACAATGTAATGAATTCACACATCTACTAAATTTTAAATCAAAATATTAAATATAAAAAATAGTTAATGTTATAGTCGCAGATTTGATCACCAAAGGGAATGACCTTAAGTACAGAACACCAAATCGAATAGTTCCAAAGGCATATAGGTAATTAGTATCGCAGATTAAAATGGATAAACTAACACAAGTAACACTATAATGATATAAATAGGAGTAGATTAAACATAATGTATGTACAACCTACGAGTCGATGTAGTGTAGAGCTAGTACAAATTTAGCATTCTAGATCTGATCACATTCTCGTAAACTAATCAGGCCGAAAAAACTTAATTAATAATAAATAATAAGGATTATAAATGAAAAATAAATTCAAACAAATTTAGTGTTGTCACGTGTAACTTTGCAAAAAATATATTAAAATACTGAATAAACTAGCAAATTTCAAAGATATTTTTCTACTTAGTATCTATTATTAGTAGTATTATTGGTATTATTTTGCGAAAACTGTGACTGTACTGCAGCAGCAGCTACGTTACTGGCAGCACTTCTAACGTGCTGGTTTCGTAAGACAACGTCCGTGAATTCCTGCCTGGCCTTTACCATACTGGCACCAGTACTTCGATACATTCTATGGATCTATAATAATTGAACGCAAAACGAACGCATAAAAGTAAAAACAAACCAAGCAAATTCATTAACTTACTTTGCTGATCATGAAGAGATCCGCTGCGGCAGCAAACGCGAAAGCTAAAGCTATTATTATCGCGATGATTCCAGTAAAAATGCTCCAGGGCGTCTTTTGAAATGTTAATATGGCAGTAAAAATACCTCTAAAATCACCAATATTGAAAATTCACATAGGTATTCACCGAATACAAATACTTACATGGTTCCAGTCCCGGAGATTCCAATAGCATGTACAGTTGTTACAACAAATTGGAAAAAGAAAATGAAGAAAAAGACCATGAAATTAAAAGAGGAGTCGGAGCGGAACGCTTTGTAGGCTGGTCTAAACCAGCAGAGATAAGAAAACGGGGTAAATAGGAGCGTGTAAAGAATGCCTACACCAACAATAGTCATATTCTCAAGCAGAATTCCTCCAAAGATGTTAGCTATCATTACAACACCATGGACTAAAAATAAAAAAAAAATTATGTATAGTTCCATCAAATGCCGCAATATTCACACAAAACCTTTGGGCCCATTAAAAGAAAATAAAAATGTATTCAAAAAAACAAGCCTGACGAACCGCTGCTGAGATGATAAACAATGCAAATGTATAATGTATGAGTATAAGGCAAAATTAAGCATGTGACAACGCATTTTCAAAAGATCACCTGAAAACTTTAAATTTAAACATAAAGGCGCCTTTAAAAGCTCCATTGAATTTCAAAACCGCGGTTATCTGAATAAATCGATTTAGAAAAAAACTATTTTGAATTAGATTGGCATAATGATGCTGAAATTGCCAATGCGCTGCTTAATTCAGTTTGAAAAGTATAAAAATGTGCGAATTGAAAAAAGTAGTGTAAAATTGCATGTATTTTCCAGTCAGTGCTTTGTCTTTATCGTAGATTTTGTTCAACACGGAATGTAATTACTGAGGAAAATTTTCAACACGAATCGGCACTGATTATCACTGTATGTAGATATAATACGACGTATTGAAATTGCTTATCAGAAATGATTGGTATGCAATGGAAAAATAACTTCCATGCATTCCAACTTAAAACCCAAACTTTTGTAGCTCAAAATAAAGATATTCCTGAGAGAAATCAACGAATAATAGTCCAAATTTACTTACAAATCCAGAGGTAATACAAGTGGCGCACAATTTTCTGAAATTCTAACGGTATATCAACTTGAATATCTTGGTAGAAGCATGGCTGAAAACAGCACTGTTCTGGAAGAGGTGGCCAATTATTACGTCGAACATTGTATGAGGACTGTCGCATTTCCTCTTCCCTTCTTGTCAGTTCTTGTTCTTTTCTTTCCAGTTCTTCTTGTCGCCTCTATACAGATTTTTTCGAATAATTTATTAACTAACTAACATGTACTGATGCGATTTTCTTTTTTATGCAGGGTGTAATCCGAGGAATTCGAGAGGCTTATTTTTTCATTTATGTATTAAAAAATTCAAAAGATTTTGGAAGTTTCTCGGATACCTCGGCGGTATGCCTGCATTGAATGGTTTTTCTTATTCTCAATAGAGCAGAAAATCAATTGAAAATTAAGTTAAATCAGTGCATGTACTTGATGTTAGATGTACTCATTTAATCAATTGATCATTGGTCAAAGATCAAATAAGCTACACCACTTAATAAATGTCCATGGAAACGTATTAATGATATTTACCTGAAGTTCATCCGTATTAATAGCAGGCTTTGGTTGTTGGACTATTTGCTGTGCACTTTTGGTATAAGCTGGTGGTTCTTCAGTGGGCTGCATGATTGCCGGCCCACTGTTTGAGGGTACTGTCGCAGCATACTGAAAAGAAAATATGGACTTATTTTTTAAGCAAAACAATCTTAATAACAGTCAAATTGAGATAAAAATAGCCAATGTACTATCAAGAAGGTATAAGACAGATAAGCCTGCCTAAGCACTACATAGACTAGATAATTTCATGACACATTGGATAACTTACTGGTATCTGTGCTGATCCTGTTTGATTATCAAAGGGGTTATAATCGTCAACCCTAATCTGTGCGTTGGTATTTCTTGCAACCTGCTGAACTGAGGGGTCCTGAAATAATCGAAACAAATGTACCTATTTTATCAGGTATTACAGTGAAACACAAACCGCTGCCATTCGTCCACGTACTCAAAAATTTGTCTATATATTATGCGTATTGTTATTATTATTTTCAATTAGAAGTGCAGCACAAAGGCCAGATTTTCAAAGAATATCTTATATGCTAAGCAGACAAGCTACATAAACAGAACATGTTGACAATAAATATACTTACAGCAAACGGGTTGTCTATCGTGGGGTCGCCAAAGGGATTTTCATCAAACCCAGACATGTTAGCGGTGTAAACTGATGTAGTACCAGATGTAAGAATAACTTAATTAATCTTATCTCAGGATATTTTCATTATCATAACAAATGACAGCAAACCCAATGTGTGATATCAATTAAATTGACACTGACGTTAGACTGGTTGACATTATTGACAACTTTGTTCAACGCGAGTTTTTTATCGACGTTGCTTGAAAACCTAAATATAATTACAATTTGGCAACGGCACGGAGTCTGTTCAGGGTTTCAGTGAGATTATTCTTCTTTGCTATCTTTGACACTTCTCTTCTTTCAGAGGTTCGTTGCATGTGGCGGGTTTGAAAATGTAAACAAACAACACAAACTGCCCTGAGAATTAACTCCGGTCTAACACGCCGCGAGAGTGTAGTTTCTAAGTTTCATTGTCATACCTGAGTAGTGTTTAGTTCCTTTTACTACTAACAATTCTTAGACCTTATTTCTTGAATGTCATGGAGTCTCCAGTGCTCCAAGATGTGTTTCCCACCTGGAAAATGGTGGACGAGCTGGTGGACACGCTACTAAAGACTGGGGCCACCGACAAGAACTCCATCCAGACTCTGGCTAACATGGCAATGTCAGAGCAGTTTTCCAGAACGTTTATTTACAACAAAGAAGCAGACCTTAGCTTCCAAGAGTACCAAGCGATTGTGGATAAGTACCAGACTTTTACTACGTGGCTCTTGGGGCAGTTTTTCTATTTACTCAGTCGCGATAACAACGAGATTATTGTGGACGCTCAACTAAGCATTATAAACCAACTGTCCAGAACTCAACTGCATGTTTATGCCTATTTGGCCGATGAGTATTGCCGAGCCTTGAATATTCTATGTGGCTACTTGAAAGACTGCTCAAAACCCCGGAGGATTGATGTGTTTGAGCCCAAGCGCAATGAGGAATTGAGTAAGAGCCTGAATCTGAAAAGTGCCACTATTGAACTGACTAGTGAGAAAACGTGCCTTCAATTGATTAAAAAGTTATTGAAAATTGTTAAATATGTTTTAATAGAAAGTTTCACTTTTAACTGTCTCGATCAGGCAACTGTTACCGCGCTGGACAATATACTGTTTCTTCTACGCAATGAGCATTGGAACTTGGACGTAATTGCGGTGTTTATAGATCTCCTGGGAAGGTTGAACTACAACATCAAAGTCCTAGACCTGCAAATAGTCCAGCTTTTTAAAGCGTTCTTTTCCTTATTCGAGCAGTATGTCTACGACTTCTACGGGAATGGAAATAAATCCAAAGTTGATAAGGATGCCTTCGAAGACCTGTTGTTTCGATACCTGGAAGAATGCCGCTCCCTGAAAGCAGACATTCACCAAAATGATGCTAGAATAGCCAGCTTTTTAATAAAATTATCTCTGGAAAGTCGCCCTGGGCCTGCAGAGCTCACCCCAGGAAAGGAGATCCAAATAGCAAGTGCCAAGTATTTTTCCCAGACTGTTTCCAGCATGGCCAGCCTGGCAATGGCGAATATTTCCACTGTGATAACTCGAAATGATTCTGTGATATTTTCCTTGCTAGAACCGCAAATCTTCAAAGAAACCTGCAGCTACATGACATCGCATTCTCATGCCACAGTAGTGGAAGTAATGGAAATTAGTGAAACTTGGAAACAGATCTGTTTTGCTCTTAATTCCTCCTGGCTTTCCTTGCAATGTTCTCCATCCATATGCCAAATGCAAAGCCGCTTGGAGTTTTTCGTTGATATTTGCGCCAGTTTGGCACGATTGAAATTTCGGATATACAGCCATTACAACAGCAACGAATACATTGTGAATTTCTTCAGTGGAAGCGTTATTTTGCCCAAAGTGCTCTCGAACATTGCAAAGCACAGCATTTCCTGCCACCGTCTCATCAAGCCCTTGAAGGTGCTGGAATTTTTGGTCAAACATCTAGGAGTGACTGAGTGCAAGAATCTGGACATATTTTTCCATTTAATTTCCTGTCGGATCTTACCTGGGCCTGGATATGCTACAGGGGCTCTGCCCAATAATTATCAGGGCCCTATTGAGGAACGATCCAAGCTAAAGGCCGATATCAATTGCCTGTATGATTTTATTCGGGGCAATAAACATATTTCTAATGTGGATGTATTGGCTAATACTACCGCATTCTTCGACATCCTTTCAAGTGGATTGGTGAAGAATTTGAATGACAGCCATATGGAGCAGATAGAGGCTGTGCACTTGAACGTGCTGAAGAACTTGAGGAACTCTGAAGACACACAGGTTTTGTCTCAGGTAGAGAAGTGCCTTCCATGTAGTTGTTGTTTGTACTTAATATTTTGTGTAGGTTTTAGAGAGTATTCCTGTTCTACTCAATGTGTTCTCCGCCAAAGATGATATCGTGAAGAACATTCTTCTGCCTCTGCTCCCGACAAAGCACAACAGCGTTCAACAAACTGTAGCCAAAATAATTCCTCTGCTTCTTTGCTGCTCTTTGAGCGATTTTGTTAAAGTAGTGACTAACGATTCCATCCAGATTATTTGCCAAGAATGCGCCACTGATTCGAAAAACGCTGCTTCGAGAACGGGCGTGTATAGAATAAAGTTTTCCAGAAATGGGGCGGATATTTCATCCGTTGCAGTCACGCTTTTGAAAACAGTGATCAATTACCTGATCAACCCCAGTGAAGATTTGAAGAAAAGGGCCATCCAGTGTATGCCCAGTTTGGCGCAACATGTGCCGAAGTTCTTTACTGTCGATGTGACGAAGATCTGGATTGAAAAAGTCGGCGATTCCTCGGTGGAAGTGAGGAAGGTTTTGGGCAAAGATGTGCGCCGAATTATTGCAAATGGGCTGGTAAAATTTTACTTTATTTATTTTACATAGTTTAACTTCACCACACTGTTGCCCTATTAAAATGTTACTTTTGAAGCAAATACCTACTCCAAAAAAATGCCATAATGAACCATCCTTAGTCATCTAGTGGTAGATTCATTTGAAAAGCGTTCCTAATTTTTTAGGGCAATCCTGCAATTAGCAAGGAGATTAAAGATAAAGTTCTAGAGATGATGTTCTCAGTGCTGCTCAGGCTATCGAAAAGGTCGCTTCAATTCTCCGAGTTCGAGCTGCAAGACACTTTACTAGACACAATCAGCGAAATTAGCCGCATAGAACACGAATCAATCAAACTGCAATGCATGAAAATCCTGCTTTACTTCGTGATGGTACCAACGTCTTTTCAAAGCTTCATTGCCGTCAATCGGTGCGTCGGACTCTCCAAGAACGACTCAGCGGGCCATCTGCTTGTCTACAAGCACCATTCTGATACCCTGTGTGAAGTCATAGTGCATCTTTGTTACAGCAATCAGTATATCATCAAGGCTTCCTTACAGGAGTCTTTAGTGAAAGTGTCTGCAATGCTTGGTAAAGTTTTCTACCCGTTTTTGAAAGGTATTTAACAAAATTTTTGCCTTGTAGGATTCGATGGAGTTAAAGACTTCGTTGCCAAAGAGGTGAATAAATTGCTGCCATTTCTTGTGGCGAAGACAGTGAAGAACAACAACGTTCGCAAGTTGATCGAAGAAATGGCCAGTATTATAAGCGTGGATGTTTCCGACATGCTAATCACCAATTACGGGCATATTTTCCTCTACCTGTTTCTAGGAGACGTCGACAGGGCTGATTCGAAAAAGTGTCTCAATTATTTGGAAGCGACAACAAAGCTGAGTGGTCCCAAACTGAGAAAACTCAATTTTAAGGTCGGTTTTCATCTAATCAGTCTCCAAAATCCACTCTGTTGGTGTTTCAGGTTCTTTTGAATGAATTGTTGTTGAATTTCCACGAAAAACGCCAAAAAGTGCTCACAACATTCCAACTGCTACTAGCTGAAGACAATCTGAGCCAAGGCAAATCTATCGAGGACTACCTGGAGCCCTATTTTCTAGCCTTCTTGCTCTATTTCAACCTAGAACTCACCTCCGAGTATTCTAAGAAGGAGAAAATGCTCCTCAGTTTGGCTGACTTGCTGAAGTTTCTAGGACCCAACAGAATAATGCCGTTGCGGTTTAAGATTCTTGCCATGCTGCAAGCCACCCATTATCTAAAACATCCGGCGCTCACATGTATTGTATGGGAGGCTTTCATCCGCAGCTGTGAGCCTGACTACTTAGGGCCCCATTTGGCGACGATTTTCGCCTCCATGCTCCCCTTGATCGAAAAGTGCCCCAACGACGTTAACAAGATCTTTCGGTATCTTATTCTGGAAAACGAAGCCACCCTTCGGGACTACATTGCAGATCTGTTTTTTGTAAACAATCATTTTCTGTCGCCCAATATTTCGATAGTAATCAGAAAGCATGTGAAGACCACTGAAAAACTCGCTCTAAAGGCGAAGATCCAGCGCTACTTGAAGTACTTGAAGCACGATAGTTTGGAAGTACGCGTCCAGAGTTTGAGGCAACTGAAGAGTTGCCTGGAGCAGAACCGGGAGGAGCTGGACCAAATGGTTCTGGGCTATAATGGGATTGATAGCACTATAGTGGAGCTGATCGATTATCTGACGTTGGCGTGCAGGACAAAGGAAGTTGCCTTGAAACTGGCCTGTGGGGATATTTTTGGGGAACTAGGCGCCATCGAGCCTAGCCACCTGCCCAGACGGTAAGGAAACGTTTCTTGAAAAAATCCTCTTTTGGCAACAGCTCTGTCTTCTGCAGGTGTGCCCAAGATAGCCAGTCGTTCAACTTCTTCATCAGCGACGATGCGTTTATAGAAAGTGCCATTAACGAGCTGATTAAATCATTCCAAACTGATAAAAACGCCCGGGTAAGTACGTGTATCTTTGCAATGAACACTCCTGAAAAAAGAACCTTACTGGCAGAATACAGACAGAGTAGCGCTAGCCATCCAGGAGATTCTAAAGACCTATGAGATATCCCCAAATCCCGACAGTGCTCGCAATGATATGTGGACTCGGTTCCCTGAGGCCCATCGGGAAGTGATGACTCCTCTTCTCTCCTCCAAGTATATTTGCGTGGAGAAATTCGTTGGGTATCCATGCCCAGTCTATGGCAGCGGGGATGGCTCAAGCTTTCAAGCTTGGCTATACAAGTAAGGAAATTTATCGATTTCTGGTTACTTATACATATACATATAAAAAAGCGTAATCATTACTCGATTACTTATTAGTGCATGAGTAACAGACGAGTTTTTCACCACGTTTACTGCGTTTTCCAGCTGGACATCCAGTTTGATAAGCACTTTATCTCCAGAGAAAAGATCGCTACTCCAGAGCTGTTTCCCCAGCATGAAGCTGGATCAGCGCGTGCTCATGCACTTCTTGCCCTATATTGTACTGCATTCGCTCGTAGATAGCGTCAACAGCAACGAGGAGAAATGCTATGTGGAATTCGAGTTCATTCTCAACGGTTTCAACAAGCTGAGGGACGTGGATGAAAAAATACTGAGCGTAAGTGGACTGAGTTGTATTCTTACTGATAACACCGAGGAGTCTGCATGGGCTTTTAGAACAGACCGTTGCCGGTACCTGGACAAACACCGATAGCTCGAGAATTAACTGGCGACAGTGAAAAGCAAATCAAATGCGCCAAAGTCGTGTTCATTTTACTGGACTTTCTGGATCGATGGTTGAGGGAGTGGCAGTGGCTCAATGGCCTGAGCGCTGAAACTGATCGGAACTACCAAAGCGTTAAAAGGCAATACCGCAGCCTAGTTGCAGAGTGATTTTCTATAGACTTGCTTGTTGCAGATTCTTGGCGAAGTTCTGCAAACTGCAAGTAGCCAAGTGCAATTACAAGTGCGGCGAGTATTCGAGAGCCTTGATGTACTTGGAGGATTACATTACTGAGAGCCCCGATCAAGTGCTGCCCAATCTTCAGTTTCTTGGCGAGGTGTTTTTCGAGTTGTCATCAATTCTCTTGCAACAATTTTCTAATGCGAATTTAACTTACGTAGATTTACGCCCAGCTAGACGAGCCTGACGGGGTCCTAGGGGTCGAGCCCCTACAGCAAAGCGAACCTTCGTTGGAGCAGAAATTGCTCTCCTTGAAAGTTTCCGGGAAGTTAAATGATGCAGCTGCAATCTACGAGCACATGCCGCGCCCTCTCAAGTTACAGCATGTTCAGGTAAGTCCAAAATTAGTAGTGGCTAGAGTACTAAAACGAAGCAAAATGTGAAATAATTTGTTTTTAATTAGAACCTGATACAATGCTATCTGGATCTGGACAAAGTGAATACCGCTCTCTACTGCGCTGAAGGTGCTCTGGGTCTTCAGCCAGAATTCGGCAACATGTTGCTAGATATGCAGGCTGAAGCCTTGTGGCGATTGGGAACTTACGAGAACCTGGACCGTTTACTTGCGAACCCCGATGTTGACAACTGCAAGGGCTGGGGAGTCCAGGTGGGCAAAAGCCTGCTTTGCATCAAAAACGGTAAAAATTTTGTCATAAACACTCTGTAAAACTCCAAGTTATTCTCACATTTCCAGAAGAAAGAGACGAATTCAAGCGGGTGCTAGAATCGATAAAAAAGCAGCAAGTTGATTCGTTCGGGGCTGCTAGCTTAGAAGAAGGGGCTTACCATCACGGCTACAGCTACATAGCGCATCTGCACTGCCTCAACGAGCTGGAGCAACTGGAGCAAAAGCTGGTCGACCTGTTTCTGAAGCCAAACGATCGCAACTATGCGGAATCCATCGTGCAAAAACTGGCAAACGAGTGGCAGTTGCGGATCAAAGTAGTTCAGGAGAGCGTTCGCGTTGTGGAACCGCTTCTCTGCCTAAGGCGAGTGGCATTGAACTTGGCCAGGGATATTGCGGAGCGAAAGGCGCCCCAGGCTGTGCCCCATTTGGAGAACTTGCTAGGCGAGACTTGGCTTAAGAGCGTTAATGTTGCCAGAAGGGCTGGGGTAAGCTTTGTCTAGGATTTTTACATGTACTGTCTAAATCAGCTTTCTTAGAGCCAGCTGTTCATTGTGCAACTTTGTCTCCGAATTTCAGATGCACCAGCAGGCATACACATATGTCCTGGACGCGGAAAAGTACAATCCGCCCAAACTGTTCATTGAAAAAGCGAAACTGCATTGGTTGAGAGAGGAGCACGAGGAGGCTCTTAATACCCTCAAGCGGGGGCTGCACTGCTACATTCCCGATGGAAGCAGCAACGAGGAAGCTCTGCAGGCGATTGCCAATTTGAGTGTGGAACAAAAGTAACGGTTTTTGCCAAACGATAATTGGCTTCGGCTTTTATCAAGTTTATTTGCAGGAAACTGTGCGCTGAAGCCAGATTGCTTATTGCGTCGTACAATAAAGACATATGCAGCGTGGACGTCGAGACCAACCTTCAACAGTACAAAGATGCTGTGGAGGTGTGCAAAGAGTGGGAGAAGAGCTTGGTAAGCCAAACCACCGCAATGAGCTTCGCATGCTAAAATGATCATGGGTTTTTAGGTTTGTTTGGCCCAGTACCAGGACCGCATCTTTCAGAACTACAATAATGAGGAAAAAGACAGCAAAGCCAACGAGCTTCAACTGCATATAGTGCACAACTTTGGAAAGTCGCTGTATTTTGGCACCACTTACATCTACCAATCGATGCCCAGACTGTTGTCCATCTGGTTCGATTGCGGCACGCGGCTTTCCAATGTAGCCAGCAGCGCGCCCAAAGAGGAGCGACGACTGGTGCTGGTAAAAATGACCAAAATCATCGATAGCTTCTTGAACAAATTGCCGGCATTTGTGTTTCTCACATCGTTTTCGCAAATTATCTCCAGGATCGCTCATCCGCAAAAGGAGGTTTACGTTCAGCTGAAAAGTATCATTGTTAATCTGATGCTTCATTATCCGCAGCAGTGTTTGTGGATGATCAGTTCAGTCATTAAGGTGGGCAAGATTTAGGGAACTAGATGATCTAGATGTATTACGGCAATTTATTTCAATTTCCAGTCCAGTTATCCGATCAGAGCCAAGAGATGTGCGGAGATTTTAAACGATCCGCTGCTGAAAATGCAGCCCATTTCTCGCATAATCCGCGATTTTTCCAGTTTAACTGAGAAGTTGATTGAATTGTGCAACAAGGAGATTTCTAGTGATGTACATAACGCATCTGTTAATTTACTGGTTCGATCACTGCCCAGGTATGGGGAGGTTGACTTTTCAGCATTTTTTTGGAAAATTTTGATTTGTACAGATTGGTGTCGCACAAATAATGATAATTTTGATACAAAGTTTATAGTTCAGGATTCTTCCATAACAAGGAGGTCGAGTAATTCATAAAGATTACTAACTAATTTTTTTTTTTTAATGGAACATTATTATTATGAAGCTGTCTTAAAAGCCTTTCAAGAAGCTCCAAAAAATGCTAAAAAAAAACCAGGTAAACAACCTTAATTCTACGAAGTTTTCAGAAAGTATCTAGGAAATACTGAGATTTTGATGGGTTTTCCTTATATTCATGCAAAATATCTTTACAGACTGTTGAACAAAGACTTCAGTGAGATCATGATGCCCACGCACAAATTTCGCAAGCTGATCCTGCCAAATCCTGATATTAAAAACGCGCAAAGTCATCACAACCCGTTTCCGAACCACTACGTTCATATAGTGGGGATTGACGACAACATTAGCATATTGCAGAGCTTGCAGCGCCCCAGGAAGATCAGCCTTAAAGGATCCAACGGCAAAAGGTCAGCCTCCTCTCTTAGCACCTCAAAGGCTTCAATTATTCTCTTCTTTTAGCTACACTTTCATGTTGAAACCCAAGGACGATTTACGCAAAGACTTTAGGTTGATGGAATTCAACGACATTGTAAACCATCTGCTTCTGAGGGACGCCGAGGCCAGACAGCGCAGGTTGAACATCCGGCTCTACTCAGTCGCCCCTCTGAATGAAGAGTGCGGCTTGATTGAGTGGGTGCATGATCTGGTCGGTCTCAGGCACATTCTTATGAACATCTATAAGCAGCGAGGTGGATTTTCACGGCACATAAAAGCAACATTCGCCTATACAGTTTTCTTTTGCAGGATTGGGCATGCGGCCTCGAGAAATCAAAGAAGTCTGTTGCAGCATACGCGATTCAATTGGAAAGAAGCGTAACGTCTTTCAAAACATCCTAGTAAAACGACATCCGCCAGTGTTGGGCGAGTGGTTTAGAAAGACGTTTCCGGATGCCCAGGTAAGTTTTCAAAAATCAGAATTGAATTATTTCAATTTTCATGGCGTTAATACCAATTTACTGTTCTCAGAACGCGCTATCAAAACCGGTCGATGGATGACTACTCAGTTATTTCCCTTTTTCCGCGATTTAAAAACAGTTTAGACTGGCTCTGGACTGTTCCTCGTTTATTAGAACTTTTCATTTTAAAATAATCCCAAAAATAATCTCCCAGTGTGCATCTAACAGTGTGCAAAATTCTATTATCAATACTTGTTTAAACACAACAAGCACAGATGTAAAGAGATGTTTTTTCCAGTATGGAAACTACCCATGGTTGAAAATAGACGTTCATAAAAATACATTTATTTGAACTTTTTAGACATGGTTAACGGCTCGAACTGCATACACCAGAACCAACGCTGTTATTTCCATAACAGGGTACATGCTCGGATTAGGAGACAGACATGGTGAAAACATTCTACTGGACGCCACTTGTGGAGATGTGGTTCACGTTGATTTCAACTGTCTTTTCAATAAGGGCGAAACGTTCGAATGGCCAGAAAGGGTGCCATTCAGACTCACGCAGAATATGATCGCGGCGATGGGCCCCTTAGGGGTTGAAGGAGTCTTCAGGCAGGCTAGCGAGTTTACTTTGGGAGTGTTAAGATCAAACACGTCAACACTCATGTCGATTGTTACGCCGTTCGTTTACGATCCTTTGGTTTCGTGGCCTAGGAACGTTCCAGCCGCTGCACAAAGTTCGGAGAAAGTAAACGAGCAGGTGAGTGAGCTTGATTGGATGAATCCCGCAATTCGATTTGACTTTTGTACACTTTTTTAGGCTCTAGAACATATTAAGAACATCGAGCTGAGGCTGCAAGGCAAGGTGAAAACCAGAAGCCGCACAATGTCCCAGTGTCTGTCCATAGAAGGCCAAATCGAGCATCTCATCAATGAAGCAAAAAGCTCCGACAATCTCTGTCAAATGTATATTGGATGGGGGCCCTATTTATAGCGTCGTTTTCACTCTTGGTTGGTCTTTCTTCGTCCGTGCCTCCATATTACAGCATTTGGTTGGAACTATTTCCGATCAAAATTTGGTTTCAGCACCGATGTTTCTCAATACGTGTAAATATTGTTTGTGTTAAAACTTAAATGAGAATTAACGCAATTTCATTCACTCTGTTTGCGCAAGGATTTAAACAAATGCAATTCCTGAAATCAGCATACAGTCTTTCTGAGAAGAGCTTTTCATCCGGATTTGCGTTGATGGATGCCGATAGATTAGAATCGTGTTTTCTTATACATAATTAATTCGTAGTTTAATACTTTCAATGAAAATTTAAATTAAAGTTTGGAACAAGCGTTTACTAACTGATCAATGAATATAACCAGAATCAACAAAAACCACACCAAAAATTAACTCATGCGTTGAAGCCATGATGAATTCTAAAGGGATATCTGAACAGGAGGCAAAAGACAATAGTTTTTTTCCAAAAAAGAATACCTATAGCAGCAGACATGTTCAAGGTCCTTTTCTCACTATCTAGATTAGAAAGCCACGATTATTTCGTGCCTGAGGCTTGGGACGCACATATGCACTTTGAATTCGACATTTTTCTCTTAGTGCGGGTTCATCTGTAGATCTGATAAACTTTTCAAATATACATTGCGTTATTAAACTGCCATTAATTTTATATTATCTATTATTGAGTGTGATATTATTGTGTTTGGTGCAGTTTATTTTATAACGCTGATAACAATAAATCAACAAATTAGCAAGGGAGAAGCTGCAGATACTGCAAATACTAAGTAAGGGTGCTCATGTACTATATGCCTGTTCGAGTTTCGCGTTCTTTTTAATTTCCAATTAAAGTACACACACTAAAGCAGTTTAAGTGCAAAAAAAAATGCGGATCGTTCATAAATTTGCAGAAAAATGTATTACAAACTTTTGAAAATTATGTTCAAACGGCCCGGTATTTACCATTGCAAATGAGATTGCCCATTGCCGTGTACTGTTAAATATTGTTTTAAAAACTAACAGTCGATGATTCGACACACAAAATTGTGCTTAAAATCCACTACAATAAAGTTTTTGAAAAACTGTTGGACCTATTTTAAATCGCCTGATTGCTTGAGGACGCAAATTTATCAAGAAAAGATTAAATTAAATTAAATCGTATCGATAGAATCCCGGTACCGATTCCTTATGTCTTACTCTCAGTCTGTAGTCCAGATGCTGCCCAGATAATGTCCATTTGCATTGTATTGATTTTCATCGGAGACAAGACCAGATGTTGAGCGGATATTCTCTAAAGAAGGCAGGGTCAATTTATGATCAACGCTCAAGATTAAGTGCAAATAAAGTGTCACAACTATTATTACTTTGTTCCGTTGTTACGACTGAATCGACTTTTCAATTCTCTATCCAACGATGGCGAAACGAATTCTGTGACTCGAATGGTTCTTGAGAAACTTCGAAAAAAGCAGCGTCATGTTCAAGTGGACTTTGCAACTCAAAAAAAAACCACGCAAATCTAAAACTTCTTGAATTCAAGCATTTTTTGCGAAAACTGCAACATTTCCTTATCGATGGTTCACGTTCTAAAAAGGCCATTTAGTTCTCTTTGGAATGATGTAAAAACGAGCGTTCTTGCTCATTTTGCTTCCGAGAAACATGCAAAACGGGTCGGAAAACATGAAATTTTGCAATAATCTTACGCCACCTTTGCACAAAACGACGATATTTTTTCTAATTTCATAGACAACAGAAGACTATTTTTTCTACATAACCGCCCCCCCCTGAATTTAAAGCTGGATCCGCCCCTGTCTCCTTTTCCTGACCGCCTCGTACCATGACGCACTATAAGTTTAAGGGTGCATGCGCGAGATGTGTCCAGGAAGTTGATTTAATCGCATGGTCCACCATGTCACAAAAACATTCGCCGTAAAACATGGGATTTTTGCGTTTTGAGAAAAATTTGTTTTAATTATGCCTGCTTGGTTCGGGTTTGAACTGAATGCGAATGATTTTTTTTTTATTTGACTTTAATACCAGGTAATACACACTTTTGAAATTCGCTTTCCCAATACCATTAAGATGAGATTATCCGGGGCTAAATCGTGTTTTAGGTATACTACTTTACATGCGAAATTGTCACTAAGGTGCACCATAATTGAGTATTGTGCTTTTAGCTCTAAAAGCTTCCATTTTTTCAGGATCTCTTCTAACGTCGCCATTTGATTGAGATTATCTAGCGACTCGACATTCAGATGCCGGATTATTTGCTTCATTCGGCAATTCGCCATAATGCAGTGTTGCCGCGTTTTCACCCATTTATTAACAGTTTTGCCCATAGCAGAGAGCTAGCGATAGGACAAGACGAGACGGTCTTCTGAATCTGTGTTCTGAATGTCATACAATCTTAAATATTCATTGATTTACCAATAATTTCTATTGAAAATATCGGGAAAAATATGCCGGTCAGTCGCTTAGATGTTATCTACCGAAAATTATTACTGACAAAATTTTTTACCAAGGGCTGGGGTGTACCTGCACATCTGGAAAGGTGATATTGACATTGGTTTATTTTTATACATCTTACGATTAATCAAAACATCTATATAACATTGGTTTATTTTTATACATCTTACGATTAATCAAAACATCTATATAACATTGGTTTTAGGCTATTTAACTTTAGAAAAATCATGTCGAATAGGGAAACATGCTGCGAACTTGTGCCAAAAGACTATCCTATCACTATCATTAATGTAAGCCAGTCTTCAAGCCTGTAACTTTGTGTAGTCATGCCTGGGATTTTCAGTCCCAGAAATACTCTGACTGCCATATTGTTGAAGGAAAATTTCGTAGCCCCTTTGCGTTGCATCTGCCAGGTCTTGTTTCTCCTGAAGTGCAAGATGCCTTCTTCCAAATGGTTTTGCCTTTGCAATGGAGCTCAGACTATAAACCTATGTGTATTCACCTGGCTGGTACTGGGGATCATGTAAGTACCAGCAAGAAAGTCTCCTGGTCATCAAACTCCCTCAATACTTATCCAACGAAGATTTTTAATTTTCCACTAGACTATTCAAACAATATTTCAAAAATGTGGATAAAACTAATACTGGAATTAGAGTAGCTTCAGGATAAATGCTGATCAACAAATATTGAAAATGACAATATGCTCTTTCAATAATGGATGAAATATAGCACCAAAATACCCTCAAGAGTTTCACCTGTGTTGCTATTAATATTTCCTTCAAGTCATTGTGAGTTATACGGTATTGTAGATTATTGCAATAGCTTGAAATGTACTGCAACACATCCTAAGAAGCTTGCTAGTTTTATTGGCCATTTTTTAGTTCTCTCATGTTCATCGATGTTTAACCCATTTCTGTCTCCATATCAAACAAAGAAAATGTAGGTGTTGGTTCGTAATAATAAATCTTTCTCGGCTGGCAAATGTGAATATATATGGTGTAGGAACATATTTCTATTTTCAGTATTTCTGGAGAAGAAGGAATATAATGGCAAAGCCCTTATTAAAGGCTGGCATTGGAGCAATCATTTTAGAAAATCCTTTTTATGGACTCCGAAAACCTAAAGACCAAATTAGGTCTAGTGTGCATTATGTATCTGATATTTTTGTAATGGGTGGTTGTCTAATTTTAGAATGTCTGGTTTTACTTAACTGGTGCGAACGGCTTGGTTTTGGACCACTTGGTGTGACTGGAATATCCATGGGAGGCCACGTAAGTTCCAAGCTTTTAGACACAACACACATTCGAAAAAACTTAAAAACATTCCAATGAAAAAATTTAAGGGACTTTAATCGTGGGCCCAGACCTAATGAGCCGCGGCAAAATTCCCTTGATGTTTCGTTCGTTTTGATGAAATTTTGGCCCGGCTCAGTCTCGGCTCGTTAGGTCTGGACGCAATATAATACTTTCATTTTACTATAAATTGGTTATTTTAATCCGAACCCCCCGTATATTATCTAAAAATTTAGGCTTTCGCGAGCATTATTTGAGTGCTGAGTTTTTCGACCACCTCTAAAGACCCGAAAAACGTTCCAATTTCAATTTGCATTGAGGAATTTTAGTTGAGTGGCGTTTCTTTACTATTTTCCTCACCCTCTGTAAAATAACGGGATTATGATCCTTATTTACGGCATTCCAAAGTTTGGTTGACTCATTTAAATATTTCTCCAGCGGAAATTCCTCGGTTCTACCGCCCACAGAAAGTTACTGAAAATCCTCCAGAGCCGAAATTTCCGATAAAATATGTCTCGCGACTTTGCTGTAACAACTTTTTCGGCCCCCGGTGGAACACCCTGTATATCCCATTCCATCACCGCATATTTTTTGTGGCTTTTTATTGTATTATTTCTCGTAGATGGCTTCTCTTGCAGCAACCAATTGGCCAAAACCTTTAGTGCTAGTTCCTTGTTTAAGTTGGTCAACTGCTTCATCAGTTTTCACCGAGGTAAATGAATCACTTATTGTAAACTTGTTTTTTTTCTGCATTACTTGCAAATGCGCTTCAATTCATTCATACAGTGCACCGCAAAACTAACACATACATCTGGACGCCGGCGCCTGTATAGAAAAAGGATTTTATTGAAGACGAATCGATAACTTTCCCTTGATCAATTTACAGGGTGTAATGAGTGAATCAATCAACTGGGACATGCTTCAAGATCAATATATGAACGATCAGTTGTACTGTGAACAATTATCGAAAGCCTGTAAGATAGTTGATGATCCTTTTGCCTGTAATCTGAGCAAAAGCTTCACAGGTTATTAAAAGCAAAATGCAAAAAATGGTTGAAAATTGACGCGCGCTCACTTTTTTAGACTCTCAAGTTCAATACGGAATAGACCTGGCTGAAGAACTCAAAGCAAGTTACGTAACCCCTTATGAGCTAGTCAATGTAATAAAAATGAACGATGTTGCTGAGTCGAGTTGTCAAGCTATTACAGATAAAGCCAGCAGTGCAGCAAAGGAAAAAATTATTTCAAGAATAAGTAGTATTAAAAATATACCTCCGTTTATTCCCAGTAAGAATATTATTGAAATGAAGAAACGAGGTAACTCAATTTACTTGAAAACCGGCGATTTGATCGGAACTTTTTTTTCTTTAGCGAAAGAGGCTTTGTGGTTTATGAGAGGCATGATGGATGAATGTACGCATTTGAAGAATTTTTCGGTGCCCGTAGACACTTCTCTTGTTATATCAATAACTGCCAAAACCGACGGGTATGTTCCTAGACGAGGGGTATCAAAATTGGACGAAATATGGCCTGGAGCCACTGTTAAGTATTTGGACTGTGGACATGTTGGCGCATATATTTTTTATAGGAATATTTTTAGGTAACTTCCAATCCCTCATAATCAATTCCGTAAATCTAATTTGCACTGTTTCAGAGATGCAATTATAGAAGCGTTCAATAAAGCGAAAAAACAAACCTCCCCATCATCACCAGCTATTCACGACATATAGACATAAATTAGTAGATTTTTAATTGTTGACCTCAGGTGCCTATTAACAGGTGTTTCAATTGAACTGTACCTGATCAAGTTGTCAAAATATGGTTGTGATATGTTTGAGAAAATATATATTGTATATAAAGAATATAAATATTAATTGCGCTCAAATGACGTTGTTTTATTTATTGAAAAACCTTAACTCAACCGATGACTGGGTGCTTCAGTTTCAAGGGTAGGGTGGAATTTGAGGACATGGGAGTATTGATTTGATGATTGAGACGAAATAATCAGAATTAATTATAAATATATAATTTCAACAAAGAGACAAATCAATAGAATGTATCGCTGCAGTACTATCAAAGATAGGTCGATTTCTAAATGCCCATTGGAATTATTTTGAGTAGTACCGATTTAAAATTAGATCTCTAATATTTCCTGCTGGTCTGGCCCATCCAATGATAACGATCTAGTACCATGCAAGTACATATCCAAAATTTGTAACGTGCATTGGGCAACAAAGCGAACAAATGGCTTTACGTCTCCCACATTGGCTGCTTTCAATGTATCATAATATTTTTCCCTAAAATCAAGTGCTGCATTTAACTTCTGAAGTGTCTGGGAAGCAATCAGTATTTGTGATATCGTCGGAAATTGCAGACTTTCGATAGTCGATCTAAGTTCGTTTATACAAGATGTCCAAGATAAGAAGGGCCGGTATGCGGATATGGAAAATCGTAAAAGAATCGAAGTTGGTTTAACCAGAAAAAATCGCCATTTAAGAGGCTAATAAAATAAACTTTTCTTTTCGTGTTCTCTTCATCTACCCGGCTTGTTGAATTTACATTTTGTTTGCAGGAAATCATAATCAATTGCATTTTTTAATACCTGTTTACCTACGTATATATATATATATACCTATACCTGGCCCTGTTTATTTGTGTAGAAGATCAAAAGGGCTCAGTTTTTTGCATTTACGTTTTATTTTCAGGGAACAATAATCAATTGCTTTTTTCAATACGGCCCTGTTCATTTCTTAGCAATTTTAGTTCTTTTCCTAACGGTCATTCAGAAAAAAATTGTCCGAATATTTTTGCAAAAACTTCTTGTATAGGGCGAGTTTGTCCGGCTTTCCGGCCGAAAACATGAGTCATTATAGGGATAGAAAAATGGCGCTTTAATTATTATTATTATTAACTTTACTATTTCTCCTAGCAACTTTAGACGTAAGTTTCCAGATTATTTAAGTCAACAAAGTATTTTCAAAATTTCGACGTTCCTTTTTCAAGAAACCATTAACTGTTTCAAATGCGGCCCTGTTCTTTATTCGCCAGGTATTTACAAATTTTAATAGTCATTTTAGTGGCCGATAAACTGAACTTGAAGATGGACCGCGCCCATTTACAATACTTAATTTTGTGCAATACTCAGAAACTTTGTAAATTCATATGACTTCAACCAAAGTACGTGTCCTGCTCAATATTTTTTTCATTAAAAAACTGGAACATTCAACATTTCTTTACTATTCTATTCTCACCTTTGCTCTTTTAAAATCATGGCAGGTGGATATCCAGCTTTGAGAAGAATTAGATTCATGATTAGTCTACTTGTGCGTCCATTGCCATCAACAAACGGGTGAATATCAACTAGTTTGTAATGAGCGAGAGCAGCATGTCTAACAGGGTGCATTGTGTAGGCTTCTTCTGAATTCAGCCACTCCACATAATTCTCCATCAAAGAAGGGATTTCCTCATGTGGGGGTGGAACGTGACTCCCAATGAAAACCTGCAACAAATAAAAGGACGTAGAAATTCAACGGTAAAAAATTATTTTCGAAAATGTTTGCCCACCTTCTCAGCTCTGAAAACGCCAGATTTGATAGGATCCACATGGCCCATGACTCTTCGATGAATCCCCAATATTTCCTTAACGCCAATATACTCAGTTCTCGTCAATAACTTCACATACTGCATGGCCTTTTCTAAACCCAAGACTTCATTGTGCTCTAAAAGGCTTTTCCCGCTAACTACATGACCTGTTTCCAAAACATATCTAAGCTGTTCGACAGTCATTGTGTTTCCTTCAATACCAATCTAAAATGTACATTAAAATATTAGTGCAGTTCATATAAAAAACACTCAATCAATCCTTACAGTGTGATAAATATGAAGGTAATATGCTTGTTTTTTAACGGCATCAAAATTGTCTAGCTTCATCCTATTTTTGAGTACATCTTTCAATTTGTCAATTTCTTGAAACAACTTAAGATCTAGTCTATCTACAACTGGAGCTGTGCGTTTTCGGTTGGAGAGAGCTGCTTGGTGATCAGGAGAATACGTTAAAGCCTGCAAAACATTGATTTAATATCATCAATTCCTCTAATATAGCTTTTTGATATTTGAGTACCTACCTTGAAGTAAAGTTCATCCGCTGTTACAATGTCATGCTGCTCTAGAAACTCCCCATACCAGTTTAATACATCCGCATTATCCGGAGCCATAGCACTAGCATGTTCAAAAAGTTTCATGGCTTTATTACCCTTACCAATCATCTTAAAGGCAAGTGCTGCTTGAATAGTATTGTACACTTCCGAATCAGTGCCCATTTGCCTCTTACTTGGACCTGCAGCTTTTCCAATGTCTTTCAACTCAAATTTCAAAGCTGATGTTAAATCATTTAATACTAAGTCCTCATTATGTAAATCCATGGCAATTGGGTACCCTAATTCAAAGGACTTTTTATCCGTGGGAATCAGGTCCTCAAATTCCGGAGTATTGTAATAAATTGAAGCCCGCTTGTAAACAGTTGTAGGAAAGTAACAGTGTTGGAGTAGTGCCAACAGCACTGATATCACAGATAATAGGATTGGTATAACTATCACAAGAACATGCATTTCTACAGATTGTTACTGTTACAGGGCTATTTTTTTCTTACATATTTCAGTATTAACATATTTGCTAGTGTTTGTTGACAACACAACTCGGACCTCGATTCTCAACATCTTAACCTGAATCTCTGTCGTATTTTTGAGGTTATGTCCCAGAGATTGAAGAAGCTGCTAGAAGAGAACAGAATCCTTGCGACGTTGCCTTGCCACGCTATGTCAAATTTGAATTTGGATCCTCAAATTCTCCATACACCGTTTCTTTGCCATGCAAGTGGGTGTTATTTAAAATGCTCATAAGGTGATTCTGTTTTTATTCGTTTTCTAATTAAAGATTTTATAAGTTACTAGAATGGCAGTATGTATGACAAGGAATGTATCACAAAATTACTGCTGGACGTTATTGTTACTTTGTGTGTATAATACATATAAAATTATTTTGTAGTTAACAATTGTTATTTATTGTTTTCAAAAGTGTTCAAAAACCTGGTATTATTTACTGATTGATCATACAAGTTCATCATATGAGCTGAAAGAAAAATGCCGTGGACATACACTTATCTACGGTTTAATCTTAAAACTTGTTATGCGTTATTTGAACTGCGATTATAGCTTTTCGCAATACATTTCTTCTTATATAGTATAGATGTTCTGAGATTAGTAATAGAGGGCTTATCCGAGTAATTTTTGGACAATTGTTTTTATTGCTTAGAACTTGTTTTAGCAATAGTCAAATGGGGAGGCCTTTTTTCTAAAGTGAAGTTATATAGTGAGGACTAAGATTAAGTGAGAGCGTTTTCCGGCTTTGCCTTTTTTCTGCGTGGCAGTTGTTATTTTTCTCTAAAGGGCAAGGGGCAATAAAAGAAAAGGAAACGGGCTCAACGACCCTAAGGTAAAAAATTATTATTTAAACGTATTTACCTAAGCTTTTAAGAACAAATATTTTTTAGTTTCCGATTTATATTGTTATTGAAAGTATAATTAAAAACAGAACAAGAGACAAATTGGAATGACTGAGATTAAGCGGTTTTAAGCTAACAGCTGACCAAGACGTTTATTGAATTAGTTAGAAACTATTTTTTTAAATTATTCATTAAATATATTCATTTTTATAACATTAATATAGGTAAGGACTTCAATGAATGTCAAACGCCTGCACCTACACACTTTCATGTACACCAAAGACGAAATAGTGTTGAGAAAAAGTTGAGAAGAGTTAGTTTGGTAATCTGTGATCTTGTCTCTAACTACAAACGATAAATTGTGTAAGGCGGCTCCGTAAACGCAAGTTATCAGCCTCCTAGTTAAAAAGCAATACTGGTATAGGTAGATATTTTGAAATTGACCGCGCCTATTCATTGGCAAAGGGTGGCAACGTCGCAAGGATTATGTTCTTCTATTAGCTGCTGCTGAAATTGAGGGGGCGGGACTAGAGTTTCGAATTCCCACCGCTTGTAGCAGAAACCTACATTTATTGATCGATAATTTTTTGAAGAACATTTCTTTACCGATAGTGTTGAGCAGGAGATTCGAATTTATTTTAGAATCTCCACAATTTCAGATTAAGTTCCAATATTATTTAACTTGAAGCACTATTTGTAAAATTTACATAAAAATACCCTAAATCTATCGCACTACTGTGTCAAAATAACTTAATATTATTCTCTAATATTTTTATTAAATTCACTTGTTCAGCCGTTACACACCAATCAGTCAATCAAGTTGAAGTCAATTGATCAAGCATTCTCATTGGAGAATTCGTGCGAAAATCAAGTTTATTAATCTGCGAAAGGAAGAAACCATCCACAAATCATGACCGAGTTTGATCAACTCGAACTCGAAGCTAACTACGTCGCTCTAAATCATGTTAACAAAGAGAAGCTACCACAAATTATGGCGTTTCGATTGCGAATCTGTCATGTATAAGCCACCTCTAAGCAACATATACAGCTGAAAAGGCACAGTTTCTCAAAAAACTATTCACATATTTATTTTGTTACGGGCAATGAACGAAATAGATTGTCGATCCTTTGTGTCTTGCTGAGGTATACAGGGTGGCCGTTTGTAAACGAAACAGACCAGATTTGAGCACCACCTTGGTTGTATTGGTAGCACGGTTGTTAAACCCCAGGATCAAACCTTCATAAGTACATGAAACCATTTATGAGTTTAGGGTTGAACACTCCCTGCTTAAGGGTTTACTGCCCCCAGCTTCATTCGCCCAAAAAGCGATAACACGTCGAAGGGCAAACAAATCAAGCAAACTATTATATCATCAGGCTCTTTTTGTTGTTCAGGTGCATTAGCATGTCGTGAAACTTCAACATTGCATGAGTTTTCACGAGAAGCTGTTTAATTTTCAGTTTCATACGCGCGACTCGTGAAGGGCCGTTGTTCCTTATCGGATATACCAAGTGAATTAGTGGTGCCTCTAAGGAAAGTGCGGTTGATCATCCGATCCGTTAACTGCAGGGTTTAGTGCAATTTTTCAATTTGGTGCTGAGCTTCATTGTGTGGTCAACCTTCAGTATGAACTTTTCGACTATTAATGAGTACAAAATGGAGGATGCGACCCCAGCTTGCCGAAAGCTGGTAAGCATGATCTCTAAATCCCTTAGATTGAGCTGATTTTAGTTTTTCAAAAATCAACTGAAGGTTTATGCATCCCTTACAGTCCTGATTTTTAATAACATGACTTTGGACAGATTCACTGGTGTACTAAACACATTTTCTTCTTTATTTCCAGGTGGCACGATGCAGCTTTGGGTAAGTTTTGAATTACTTTGCCCCTGGTTGCCACGCAGATGTAGAGTTTTAGTTCCATTTTATGGAATTGTGTTGCATACCATATTTATTCGACGATAAACGACGAGGGAGTTTCTGGATTCTGGATTGGGTTTTTCAAATTTCAAAATTTAATTTCAAGTCAGATATACGTTAACGAATGAGGTTTTCCACAGTGGACTGTTTTTATATTAACTCTTACAGGTGAAATTTAAAATCAGTGAAGTTCTGATGAGAGACCTAAAGACGTTCTTGTATTCTCAATAGAGATGGTTCAAGTTTTCAAAATCTATATCATTTTCACTCAATTTTTCAACTTTAAATAGTCCGGTTTTCCTCAGTAAGCTGTTTTAATATGTTAAATAGGGATTTAAAAAATTAATCTGCTGCAAAAATACCTTCATTTATCTTGGAAGAAAATATATTAATATTAGTGTTTTTGTTGTAAATTAAACAGAGTTGCTGTCTTTAAAATTAAAAATAACCCAGAATCCAGACGAAACTGCCGAAATGTAGGTGGAATTTGTTTTTTGCTATTTTTGCCTTTTGATTTTTCACTGATTGCGGCTGTTCTTCAACTCTCAACGTTGAGCAAAAATCGAACTTTTAGCTAATTGCAGCGGTCTGAATCCGGACAGCAATTTTTTTGTAGTAGTTTGTGGCTACCAGGGTTGTAGTTTATATAATTTGCAACATTTATGCTGCTCGCATGTGCAGCTTTGCGGATTTTATCTATCGATTTCTACTTTTTTGCGAGATTTATACTGCAGTTTAAGTAGAATTCTTATTGCAATCTGTGCGGAGTTTCTATAGTGGCTTTTTGGAAATGGTAGCGTCCTCTTTTTTTCGAATGTTAGGAAAATTATGCAAATTTTAACATGCATTATTTCATCGTGGTTTCGGTTTGTTTAGTCAGTCGGTCCCTGGTCTTGGCGCACTGGCGACCAGAACGGGATATTTTAATTTCATGAATTACGAGAATGGCTTCTAACTTTAGAAGAATAAATCTCATGAACCTCTCTTATACCGCACTATAAATGCTGCATTACAACATTGAATTATTCTTAAATTAAATTATAAAATCCTTTTTGTTTTGGAAGTATTCATATCTTTTTACATACTTTACTTATTTTGTAGAATTTATATGGAGGTTTTTAGTAAACCTGACTTTTTGGTCAAGTTCAAAATATTTTAACTTTTACACTAGATAACCGATATTTATATATTCGTTGGTAATTTGTAACTTATTTTTTTATTATTTCAGGCGAAATAAATATTAACTCGTTGTTTTCCATCTGTATTTCATAATGAGAAAAACACCGAAAATCACATTTTTAATAAAGTTTTATACCGCCCAGCGCGTTATCGTTTTATTTGAAACCAAAATGTAGTCAATCCTTTTGAAAGGGCGTCTTTTTGTCAAAATATGTTTTTCACTTTAATTTAATTTTTCTTACGCTTGAAATAACAGCCAAAAGATAATTTAGCTATAAACTAAAAAAATATATATTAAGATCGGTTAATTGGTATAAAAGTAGAAACTTAAAAATGTACCAAAAAATCTTCTGCGCCACTTTTTTCCAAACTGAATGTAGTTCATTAAAAGATCCAATAACCTCCCAATGTCCAATTCCAACGTAAAATAATTCTCCCCATTTTGGCAGCAACTTCAACAAGTTACTATCCCTTCGTTGCATGAAATCAGCTACTTTATCTGCTTCTTCGAAAGTTCCTCTCCTACAGTTAATTTACCGCAATGGTTCAATAGAAAACGTTTTAAATGCCCACTGTTGTGTAAAATTATTCCGCAATGAACGTGTTTCAACTTTCTAGAAAACTAGCAACTTTCCACTTGGGAGTATAAAAGTTCTCAACTTTCCCTTCCAGCATTTAACAATTGATGTCGAAAATCTAGTTTTCGCCGACTATCCAGACAAAATTAAAAGTCCGGTTCGCTGATTATCAGTCGGAAATCTGAAAGTATGGGTTTTTCATGTAATGAAACACCACTATAATAATCTTTAATAATTTATTTAAAGTGAACGATATAAAAATATTGGTTTAAAACCTTCTAGTGAGATCGGTCTTAGTATCTACCTTACAACATAGTTGGCAGAGTTTTACGCGATTTATGCTTACATTAAAAACAATTAAAATGAGTTAAAATGAGAAAACAACAGGATTCTTCCAACCTTGAATTAGAATTTATTTTGAGCACGGATGGTTGCAACAGTTTTCCTCCACAAATTTCATAAACATTTTTTTCTTATAATGAGGCGTCAATACCTATCGAGCCGATCCCGATCCAACCGGAGCAGCGGCTAAATTCCTTTAATATTTCATCAAAGGAATTTTACCGCGCTTCAGACTCGGCTCGTTAGGTCTGTAGACACCATAAAATAATTTCTGATGCAGGTTGGAACGAACCTTATATACATGTATTTATACTATGCAGTTTATACAAATGGAAACATTTAGTATTTTTAAGTTAAAATCCTACTGTCTAAGGCTATTTACAAATTTAATCCACAGCCTTTAGTTCAGTATTTGGTGTGTTGGGCCCACATTTGTTGCATTACTATTTCAATATAAATAAAAATAACTCCCAACTCAAACTGATAACTATAATTAACAATTAACTAGGAGGCCCAACTTGGGCAAACTATATATTATTCAAACAATACTATAAGAAAATCACTATTCCATATCTTCTGGGACATTCATTTCGGGCTCTGGAACGTTGCATCCCATGTCACGCAGAGTAAAATAAATGGCCTGAGGCATAAAACGCCTCATAACACTAAAGTATGGCGCACTGGCCCTTTGTAAGAAATTTACAATGTGAAGCATTGTGTTTATGTTAAATGGATGACAATAAAACAACAGCAGGGCATCATCCTCCTTTCTTACCGAGGAATCTTCCCCGAAATCGTCGAAGTCGTACGGCTCGGGACGGGGTGGCTTAATTTTTTTCTAGAAAAATATCGGTATACTGAAGAACTGAGGCCGATTGAACGCGTTAAATAAATAACATTACTAAACAAAATACACTGTCTTTGACAGAATTGCGTAGTATACTTGAAGTAGGCTTCTGAATACAGATTCATTAGCCCTGTTTAGGAGAAAATAAAAAAGACACTAGGAAATAGAACAAAGAAGTATTCCGGGAGTAAGTCAACTTGAAAACAAGGAACCAAACGAACTAGAATACATTCATCATTGCATCAAAGAATGATATTGAATGGAGAAAAAACTGAAAAATTAACACGGAATACTATCATAACTACTGGCAAATTTTCAGTAGAAACACAACTGATGAATGTGATAAAAACATAAAAAAGGTCCACTTACCCTTTTTTCTTCATATAGCACACATTGAATGAGAAGGTAGTACAGATACTCCAATCCATTGAAGATTTCACCTGTTGGAGATGCATCATTTGGCAAATCATAGGGAATGACAATTTCTGCCATTTTTTTATATTCGTTTTCATGGTCCAAGCAGTGCTGAATAACATGTACTATGGATAACACCCTGAAACATAAATTATTAATTGATGAATGTGGGTTGAAATAGAGACTACTTACAAAATCTTTCTGTCTATGAAGTCAACGGCGTGGAAATACTGCGGCTCCCATAATCTCATAATGAAATTCAAGGCACTGCCTCCATGGGGTCCAGGAAGAACTGATAAATAATTGAGAGTACCAGTGGTGCGAATCATGCAAATAAAGATAAAGATGCTCCAATTGGCCCTTATCTTTTTGCTAGGGGATTTAGCACAGCCGGTAATCACATTTCTAAGGACGGTTTCGTAATGAGCCTCCATTACATTCGGGAGGCAAAATATGGTGGTAATAACCAATTTCCCTAGCACATTCTTAGGTAGAACGATGCCGGGTTGTAGCAGCATATTGAGCAACTGTGGAAACTCTGCAATGATCGTCATGCCCTTTGGCAATGTGCTGAGCATTCGAATTTGATCCTGGCGTTTCACAATTAATGTGATAAGAAGATTCGCAGCGGATTCATCAAGTTCTTCCTCTCTATCTTTATTTTGACTAAGTTGAGTAGCTGCACCCAAAAATGTCTGCAATACTAGGTCCTCATCCTGAGTGGGGGAATACACACAAATTGTATTTAAAATATCGAAGGCTTTGTCTATATCATCCGTCATGTATCTGGGTTCCAAATTGTTAATAACATGATGTAAAAATGTGAGGAACTTATCGTTGGCTAAAGTTTTGAATCCTTGAATCTGAGCTATCTTAGCGCAGACAAAGTTCACTTCCCTCATCACACATTGGTCAGTGAAAAAAGCTGAAGTAATCTTGACCAAAAGATCTTCAAGTTCATCGATGTTTTTGCAAGCCAAATTGTTCTGGGACTACAAGAAAAAACATCCTCAAACGAACCCATCCCCCAAGGAATTAATGATGATTAATCCTTACTTTTACAAAATACCCCAAGGCGTTCAATGAATGGTGCAGCGGAAATTTATTTTTCATTCTTGTTACTGCAACTAAGCAATTCAGCGTTTCCACAGCAACTTGAGAGATCAAAAATTTTTTCTCTGGAGGCATGGCCTTAAATGACTTAAGGTAATTACACAAGGCTCTAAAATGGAAAATAATAAATTAATCCCGGCAAACAGAACGCAAGCATTCTACTCACTCTGCGGATGGAATCAGAATATAAGTATTATCGGATTGTAAGTTTCGAATGATATATTTCAAGTGGCACTCCATTACACTGGGGTTGATCTCTAAGCAATAGATACCACCAACCCATAAAATTCTGCCTTGCAAAATCAAGTTCTCCGGACTGATCATGTTAGTCCAATTATTGATGTAAAATTGCAAGGGAAAGGCAAATTCTGGATCCGTAGCAACATATCTTTCCTTAATTAACCCGGTTCCAAACATCATGGCTTCGGTTAGGCTTGTGATGTAATACGCATGGAAAGGGTTGATTGGTTGGGGCTCCATTTCAGCAACCAATCTTTGGAAAACTATGTGCATAGTCTTAAAATAAACGGCTTTTCCGTTCTTCTGACGCGCATCAATTTTTTCCAAGGAGAACTGCAAAAGCAATATGAAAATATGTTTAACCCGAGCGTAATACACATATTTTGAACTCGTACCGTTATAATTTGAGAGCACACATCCCTTAATGACCAGAGGTGATCCTTTTCAATAACGGTCAAATACAATTGAGCTTCCATGCCGTGGTGGCATGACATAAACACATATATGCAATAAATTAGATTTTCCAAGTCTTCCATTAGAACATCAAAGTAGGGCATATCAACTAGATTCATAATGAAGTCTAAAATTCCACCAATAAGATCATAGAAATGTTTTGGTTCGCCCTCTTCTAATTCATCCTTGGGAGGGGTTGCGCCCTTAATAACTTCTTTATACTGTTCGCAGCATAAGGTTAGTAGCTTTCCAATGGTTGGTAATAATGGAGCAATGAATATATGGCAGTATTCACTAAATTGATCTACGCTATTATTCAGGAACTTTAAAATTTCAGTTCTGAACCCAAAATCGAAGCTAATGGAATAGCATGCATTTAATGCCACGTCCAACTCTTCGGTGATTTTCGTCAAACAATCTGGTACATACTGCAGATTGGGAGCTGAATGTTTCATCAGCAAAAACATTGGTTGAATGACACGCTCTTTTGTTTTTGATAGAGTATTTCTCTAAAAATAAAAATATTCTTACAGGGCAAACTTTTTCAAAAATATTCAAATTAACTAACTCGCTTTAAAACATCCAGTAAAACATCAAACCAGTGGTACTCGATGATAGTATATTCATGGTTTCCCAAATATGGATTATCAATCGCTTTATTTAAGACGAGGACGGCATTTGAAATATCCTCTTCATCGTCATGTTTGACCATATCATTCAGCAATATTGTCGCATCTGCCCAAAAACCGAGGCACAACAGTTTGGCGATGCAGGCCGCCAAACATTCTTTAAGTGGTAGGCTACTATCAGCTAAGAAGTCTATTAGTTGCAATGTAAGAGATTTGCCAAAGCTTTTGTGAAAGAGCGCACAATTGGACTGTGTATGATTCAATATTTCATCAAGATAATTTTTTAGAAATATTGCCGCTAATTCTCGAACATGGATATTTTCTTCTTCAGTGCCAATTATTTGAGACACAACCAACGGGTATTCTAAAATGAATAAAAGTTGCACTTATTAATCACATAAACGTCAAATTAGTGCCAACATATAATCAATCAATAATTTAAGTTAATTGGAGCGGAAAGTAAGAGGTATAGGAGTAACCATTCATTTATGGTGGTGTTTTAAGGTTCTCGACTTCAGAGAGTAATGGCTAAGGGTAATGGGAAATATAGATACTTCCTAATTCGCGCCAGATGTATAGTGATTATGGCTGATGAAAGCAGCTTCATTAAATCTGTTTCCGCTTGTTGCTTTCTACATAAAATCTTAAAGTTAATATTGTCTCCTCCGCTGGTGTATGTTTTCGACCTTCAATTCTAATAAAGTTGATAAATACAATATTTTACCAGTTATATAAGCTTACCGATTATATCAAAGTTTTATCTTTCTCCGAAGCTTAGCGGAAGCATAGCTACCGAAACACACGCTGCGTGTAAAATAAAGTTTCGACAAAGTGGTCTAAGGTTTCAACCCCAAAAGCAAGCCGCCAGATAAATTTAAGCTAATACGTAAATAATAATTTAGTAGTTACTTACCTTAGAATCAGCGACTGACAAAATTACACATCGATGCAAATGGGTGCTAGGGCGCAAAAAGTTTAAAAAATAATAATAAAGTCTATAGGTACTTTCGTCCGATTTTAACATTTTTTTTTTGGATTGTAGGGCAAAAAAAACCCTACTTTAGAACAGATTCTGGCATTTTTGCTGCAAAAACTAATTGGTCATTTTTTGTGGACTACAATGAAAATAACGTATTAGCTACTGGAATTTATAATCTAGTAAAAAAGTGCTTTGAAATATTCTACTGGTTGGTGGAGGCAACCAGAACTTTATTTTTTTGCTGGACTCAAATTTGATTTCTTAATAAGGCCAAATTAATCCATAAAAGGAATCTGATGATATTCAATTCTACTATAGAATTATTAATTTGCCATATTTTTCAATGAAGTTAGGCTTCTATACTACCTTGGCTTTTGTTTTTGCAACAAAAATGTTTTTTATTGTTCTTTGAGTGTGTAAAGATGTAGAACTAGCCAACTTGAATAAAAACTTTAAATAATTAAAGAAACTTTGTTGAGCAAGTGTGTGCAAGTACCTACTTAGTGATGAATTAGAAAAAATATAAACTTTAAAGTGTTTAAATTTTAGAAATGTTTTCCAAATGTATTCAAACGAGAAGTGAACATTTCTGGTATAACCAGAATGGTGCAGAATATTGAAGTTATAATAAGTCAGTTAATTAAGACTTATTTGTGAATATACAGGATGGCCCTGGGATAAGTATCGGAACGGAAAACAGTAAATTCCCCATGAAGAAAGAAGCACTTTTTCTGTTTTCATTTTCTCTTCGCTTTCGATCTACAGGGTGTGTACGCATGTATACAACACAATTCCTACTTAGTTTTTTTTATTTTTTGTGGAACTCACATTACACCTATTAAAAGTTACTTTTTCTCACCCTAATTGAATTTATCGAACGTGCCAGTCGTTGAGATTTGTAGGTATCATTAATCCATACGATGAGTTTCGAGTAAGGTACGAAAATGTAGCTATTAATAGTGGAAATGTGCATAAAAAGGTCATTCTTGGAGCTTAAACGGTTTCTAACATATTGGTGAAAAAGTTAAATAAAATATTTTTTAACACCCTGTATCCCGAAAACGAAATCACGAAGAGAATAATGCAAGCGGAAAAAAGTATCTGTTTTTCCCACGAGCAATCTACAGTATTTCGCTGCGACACTATTTAAAAACATCCTATATAAACGTAGCTGCATCTCATGTACTTATGTGTAAATAAAACATTAGCTACCAGACATTTTCAAACCAAAAAAAATCACTAAATCTAACAGCACTTTAGCTCAACTGTAAATAGCACATATTTGGTAAAAAAAAACAGAATTAAGGCCAGTTGGCCAGATTGAAGTGGATTGTATAGACGATTGTGCAATATTTGCAAAGATTTTAGATAAGATTTTGTTTGGCAAGGAGTGCCTAAAGTGCCATATTTAATAGCGAGATTCTCAAAATACGAATATATCAGTATGTACATGCTTTTCTGATTTTGAAGGCAAATTGTTCAATTTTCGTTATTTGTAAATTGCTAGATTTATTAAATATTTTGAGGGCTCCATACTTTGGCTCCTGATCAGAGCATGTTCCATCAGCTATATCAAATCAAGGAATAGACGAAATTGTTACACACAGAAGCAGCAAATAGCATGAAACCCTTTATGTGCCTTGATAATAACAAAAAAAAGCACTTACCTTCAAGAACTTGAACTTGGTTTAGTTTATCGACTGCCTTTTTCTGCATGTCAGTGTCGCCCCCCATAACGCTGTTCATAATTTGAACGAGGGCATCATACAATGGATGCTTTGGTGGAGACGGTACTTCTTCCATCTAGAAAGAAATTATAAACCGGTGAAAACTGATCAGTCTCATAACCTCTAAAATTGCTACCTCGACTGCTAAAGTTTTGTTGGTAAAAGTCCATGTAGCAGATTTAGTGCACATCGAACCCCAAAACCGACTATTAAAGCACTAACGGGCAGTACCATTTATTAAATTACAAAACTTTTAAAAATCTTTAAATAAGTGACTGTCACACAGGTGACTTAGTTTTAAATAATTATAAACATTAGGCGTACGCATGACGATCACCAAGAAGTTCGTTCCGAAATAAACTCTACTAGTTTAGAATTAGCACAGTTCAAAATCAAATGGGCTGTAATTTAATTTAAATCCGTCGAATTCAATTTTGTCACGGTAAGAACTCAATTTTTAGGTTTAAGATATTCAAAATTGTTAAAATGGATGAACGAAATTTCAAAAGGCATCTAATAGTTTAATTGTATTATTTTTTCAAACCAGTGCGATTTTTAAAAAAATGTGGAGTTGAAAACCAACTGCCACGCTCATTTGGCATTGAAACTTAAATCTCCCGTAATATGATATAAGTGGCACAGGCCTCGAAATACGCTAATCTCATACACCTAGAGGCTCTGATTATGTCGGAAGTTTCATGGTTTTCACCCGTCATATGTTTGAAATACTCCAAACTAAACCTGTCTTTAAACCGAGGTTTAAACTTACACAATTAGACCTAACAAATTAGGATTCAACTTTATAACTTACCGGGAATACTGTGCCAGTTATTGCTGGCATCATTTAGAACACTCTGTATTAACTGTGGTATTTCAAAGGGGACAATAATGGGTATAATAAATATGCCCAACCACACAGACAGTATATATTTAAGGACACAACAATTACTCATCAACTTCGCATCTTTATTAATAATCTAATGCCATACATTTGAAGTAATTGAATGATTTACAAATATATATTTATATATAGGTATGTATATAAATGAGCAAGCCTATCAACTATACTTCCAACTTGAGTCCTATACAGCAATATAAACATTTCAAACTAATTGTTATTGGTTGCTCTAATAACAAAAAGTATTAATTAATAAAACTACAAACTAGAAAAATGTTACATCATTTTTGGCTTTTATGACCAGAGAAAGAACATCGTGCGATGCTGAATATATCGGATTATTTTAAGGCTTTTGCCAAAAACATTTCAAAAGAAGTCACTTTGCAGGCCCATCTCTTCAAGAAAAAGCCCCATTGGAGTTCTTTTCGAGCCCAACACTTCGACTCTGTTCGCAATTTTGTTCTTAATGTTTCTCAATCTCAAAGAAGCATGAACAAATATAACTAAAATAAAAATCATTTTTAATACTGGACAATCCGAAAGGTATCCTTGATTGTTTAAAAAATTATGAGAAAGAAATATTGAATGGTTGATTTGAACTTCCATTGGCAGATAAAAAAGTCTATAAAGAACTCCAGTGGTTGGAGGTGCAAAAAAGAGTATCAGGAACTAACTTCAAGAATCAAATGGGACAAAAACATGTTTGTAGGCCAATGGAAAATTGAATACACCATTCAACCTCCACATTCTCGGTCGTCTTTAATCAATAACATTTGATTTATTGCACTGAGCGGTGAAGTCTTACCTGAAAAAGGCAGCAAAACGCCCAGAAAGAAGACAAGTACACTTTGGAACATGTGAGCAATGAGATAGAGGGATCCAAAGATGAGAATTAGTGAAATTAATGGATGCTGTTGTTTGAAATTAGCAGCAGCGGCTTTTTCATTAGTGACATAAACAAATATCGCAAAAATCAGTCCTGTAGCCAAACAGCCACATATCATTCGAATCGGATGAATTATGCTAAAAAATCCAAGTATCAGGGTTACTGGAGAGCAGATACTAAATACAGAAACTTACCCAACTATGGTGAAAATGCTGGAAGCAAGTAGAAAATAGTTTGTCTGATAATAGAGCAAGTTGCTGGTAACTCGATTGCCCCATTTTTCCAGATCCTTGAAGTTGGGAATTTGGAATCGTGCTGAATCTAGCAGGAAATCATCCAGCTGCCTCAAAGGGGCCACTTCAATATCTAACCCTTCTTTCTTGCTCATTATGTTCGATGTTAATACAGACAGACTAGTCGACTAATTGAGTAAATTTAAATTTATATTTTGAATAACCATGACATGACACCATCACTGACAATCGCTGAAGTGATGTCATTTTTTGCGTCCAAACAAAAACATGCACATCCAGGTATGTTCACTAGTTTGAAGCACTGATCACGGAATCACGTTCTAACTAACACTAAATTCATTCAGTTATTATTAAAACGAACTAAATTAACCGAACACGCAAAAACGCAACATATTTAATTTTTTTATGCACACATAAAAATTTATTTTTGAAAAATGTACGAAATTTTGAACGCAGTTAAACGACATGACGTGTGGAATTACACGAAGGAATGTTGTTGTTTACGTTTCGAAGTAGTTTATTTACTATGTTTGATTTTTTAGGCTGTGATGTGATTTCTCCCAGTCTGCCTATTTAATTATACCCTAATGCCTAACAAATAATTCGAATTAACCTTCTGGTCAATTAACCCCATTCTCATTTAAAAATTTAGCAATAATGAATTTTATTAGGGCATCAATTGAAATATCAAGCGCCTTCTCCCCAGTGTCCAAGTGGAAAATTCCTGGAAAATATTTAAGCACATTCCAATACCCTATAGATTATGAGTTTATCCAAAGGAGCCCCATTCCCACAATGCACTTTCAGTACTCCTTACCACATCTTCCCATCCCCAAGCTAGACCTGACATGTGAACGCTATTTGGCCGCCCAAAGGCCCCTTCTGATCGATGAGGCTTACAGAAAGGCAGAGAGCACGGTAAACCATTTCAAAACTGGCACTGGCAAACAATTGCAAACGATTCTAAAAAAGACTGACCGAGAAAATAGAGATTCAAGTTACATCTCAGATCTTTGGTTCGATCAGTCTTTACGAGACCGAAAGCCTTTGCCCATTAACTACAATCCTATGCTAGTAATGCAGAATGATTGGCGACATGAGTACAATAATCAGCTTATCAGAAGTACCAATTTGATAATAAGTAGTGTAAGATTCTACAAGTCCTTAAAATTCAACCTGCTTGAACCGGAGGTTTACCATTTGAATCCAATGAGAAGTAACTCAGACTCGTTTATAAATATCTGCAGTTCGCTACCTGAATCACTAAGCTGGCATGGGGCGTATTTGTTCAAAGCATACCCATTGGACATGTCTCAATATCCTAGTCTATTTAACTCTACAAGAGTACCAGAAACCGATAGAGACAGACTGATTAAGAACCTTCCAGGAAATCACATAACTGTGCAAAGTAAAGGCCACTTTTATGCCTTCTCAGTCATGGATCAGTATGGTGACATACTGAAGCCGGAGAAAATTCTGGCCAGGCTCAAATTCATCATGGAAGATGATATAGAGAACAACGAATTTCCTGTTGGAATCCTCACTACACTGGAGAGAAACCAGTGGGCTACGTTGAGACATGAACTAGGAGATAATGGAAATGAGACTGGCTTAAAACTAATAGACTCTGCTTTATTTAACGTATGTCTGGACGATGTTTCATTGGATGGAGATGTGTATGCCACAATCAGGAATTTTTTGCATGGAGACGGAAAAAATAGGTAAAAGATGAATTTAGTGAACACTCTTGGATTTTATTATCACTTGACGAAAAAATTAGTTTAATATCTTGGTTATTTTCAAGCAGGCAAATGCACAATGCAATCTTTTGCGTTTGAAACTGGTGAGTTTTTCGGGCTTTTGTGCCGTCGTGGAGAAGAATTTTTTGACGATCTAAAAACCCGAGAAACTCACGTGGCTTAAGCAATGCCCGCGAAAGCCTAACTTTTACATTTGCGTTTGAAACTGTGAAACTGTTTTTAGCCGCCCTTATAAAAAAACATAAGCATATTAGCCAAACATAGGCTTTCTTGCATTGACTCCTAACATTTCCTTTAGGTGGTTTGACAAATCTTTTTCAATACAAGTGAGTAAAGATGGGATGGCTGCTGTAAATTTCGAGCACTCCTGGGGAGACGGAGTCGCTACTTTGAGATATGTTCAAGATATATATAAAGATTCCACAGAACATCCGTTTGTCCACCCAAATACTGCACCATATGATGATAATATTAGCAACGTTATAAGGCTGGGTAAGAGGGTTTGCATCAGCTTATTTGAATATGGTGAATGAGGAAAAAAAAATGTATACCAAATATGTTCTTGTCGTCCTGTAGCAGGTTCAAATATTTCATGTTACATAAGATGTATTTTTCAGATTTTCATCTAACTGATAAGCTTAAATGTAGCATTGAAGAAGCGAAGGCAGACTACAAGCACTATTGCCGAGCTTTGGATATAGATTATCTTATTTTTGATCGTGTAGGGAAGAATATATGCAAAAAGCAGGCAGTAAGCCCAGATGCAGTAATGCAGTTAGGGTTTCAAGTAAGTCCGTTTGGACGCCGTTTTTTGAGCCTCCAAATACATAGCATATGTGAAATAATTCATTATTGCGCTTTGAGAGCAAGAGGTTTTACTTAACCCAGATTTTTACAGAAATTTCTTCCCTTGAGTTTAAAAGCAGCACACAAAAAGAATTTGGGCCAAGAAAAAAAGTGTAAAGTCCGTTTGGGCGCCGTTTCTCTAGCCTCCAAACACATCGCCTATGTGAAAAAAAATCAATATTGCGCTTTGAGAGTAAGAGGTTCTTCACTTAACCCAGATTTTTAAAGAAATTTCTTCCCTTGAGTTTAAGAGCTGCACACAAAAGAAATTTGGGCCAAGAAAAAAAAGTGTAAAGTCCGTTTGGATGCTGTTTCTCTAGCCTCCAAACACATCGCCTACGTGAAATAATTCAATATTGCGTTTTGAGAGTAAGATATCCTTCACTTAACCCAGATTTTTAAAGAAATTTCTTCCCTTGAGATTTAGAGCGGCACCCACAAAAGATATTCGGGCCACATTTCTGAAAAAATTCGAGAACATTTTTCAAGAATAGCCTCAAAACGTCCATGGGAAGCCGCAATCGAATAATATGGCGGCATCAGCAATGACCAGAGCAAGGAGAAAATGGGCCTCCCAAGATTGCATCAGCAGCTCCTAATATTGCAAAAAAGTTGAAAATGCAATGAGAAAACTAGAAGCATTTGAATCTTTTCGCCCACTTTTCCCATTGCCGATATTTTCCGGTATGTAAATTCGTAACGGCCAACTAGGGACGCCACTTTCTGAGACTGCGCTTTCGGCACTTTGCAAAATCAAACAAAACTTACCGGTATATTTATGGCGAATCGGCTCAGAAGTGATTCTTGCAGATTGAACCTAAATAGGGATATTTTAGGACAGGTTTTTCCAAGAAATCGACGCTTAAGCAAAGGGAACGCACACGTACGCTAGAGCAACACGAACGGGAACTCGGAAAATGGCGCAAAGCTAAAAGGAAGCTCTGGTTAACGGTTGAAAAGGTTGGCGTAGGGTCACGAACTTACCCGAACTTAACGCATCGGTGCGCGCGCAATTCAAATGACATTTCGATTTCGAACAGTTCAGGAGACAATATGGACATAGTTTCTGGTTTATATAAGTTAATTTGATTGGAAATAGTGTCCAGTTTGAGTTTAATTCGAATTAGCTTGGTTTAAAGTCGTTTTTTTTGATAGAGCACGGCTGGTGTAGGGCAATGAATTTTCGGGAGGGTGAACTGTCAATGCGCGCGCAATTCAAATGTCGTTTGCACTTTAGCCAGGGCCGAAACCAATATTGTCGTATATTACTGGGTTAATATTATTTAATTTGCTTGCAATTGCTGTCCCATTCAGGGTTTATTCGAACATCGGCTATTTAAAATCAATTTACAACGTCCAGAATGAATCGCTCTCGGCACTACTTTTTGATTGAACTAAACCGGAATAGGGCGTTGAATTGTTTTGATGGTTATCTATCCATTCATACCCGCGAAATTCAAATCGGGCGAGCTTTTACTTCTGGCATTATAGAAGACACTTCTGATCCAGCGTTTGGTTTAAAAACGTTTTTTTGGTCGTATTTACTAACAAATTAAAACTTAATTCGATCCTTATCGGTTTGATATCGATTTACCATATACAGAGTGTAGTGCTTTTTCACATTAGGTTTTGCCGTAAATGGCGCGCGATTCAAATGCCCAGTCTAGATGAGAATATTAAAATAACAAGAAAGGGTAAGATATTGAGGATATGACCCAAAAAAATTAATCTGAGGCTTACACATAGATATAGATAGTTTTACCAGTTTGTCGAAACTTTGTTTTACACCTGATCAAAAAATCGGTTCGTAACTCATAATTGTTGGCAAAGTCTTTTCCCAGTTCGTAGCCACGCTTTTGTTCGCAACGAAGTGAGGTAAAACTGCGGACAGATTTTGAATTTTGGCTTTAAAGAACCCTGGGCGGCAAAAAATGAGTTTATTTGTTTGCGGCGGCTTTGCCTTTGAGCCAAAAATATTTGGAACTGCTTATCCTTTCAGCTCAGCTAATCTAATATTTATACATTATGCTCCTTTCTACCTTCATTGAAATTTAGGTTCTGGTAAATAATCCCTTTAAACAGCCCTTATTTAGAAAAGTTGTGAAGCGAAATTGTGTAAGGTTTTACATCCCTAAGAGAAAACTCAATATTTAACATTTTAGATCGCATATCATAAGATGACAGGAAAATTTGTCCCCACATATGAATCGTGCAGTACTGCAGCATTTCGACATGGTCGTACTGAGCTAGTGCGTCCATGTACAACTTTATCAAAGGTGATAAGATTGAAACTGTTACAAATAGCTAAAATGTTAAATTCAGGCGTTCACTTTAGCGATAAATTGCAAAAGCCTCTACCAACCCACCATTAGCGAGTTGAAAATGATGATCGGAGACTGTTCTAGACATCACAACCAGTTGACTAGAGAAGCAGCGATGGGACAAGGCTTTGATAGGCACCTTTTTGCCTTGAAAAATATTTCGGATCAATCCAATTTGTATTGCAATATGTTCCAAGATCCATATTATGTTCATTTGAATCATACCATTCTCTGTACCAGCACCTTGAGCTCTCCTGCTGTTTATGCAGGCGGGTTTGGGCCTGCCGAACGAAACGGACTTGGCGTGGCGTAAGTGCTGGATTAGAATTTTATTATTTATTTTAATTTGCCTTTTCTTGTAAAAGATACATTATCAGGGATGATGAACTGGGAGTTCTGGTGACCAGCTATCCATCGTATCAAAACGGGTCAGATTTTATTAGCGCATTAAGAGAAGCTTTCGCTGAGCTGGTGAATATTTTGGATAAAGACTAAAACTAATGGCTTATTTAAGACAGTTTATTAATTGGGGTTTCAACATGTATTATTATTTCGCAAAAAATGTTAAGCTGTGAAGGGTACAAGTCTGTGCAAACCGTTTTTTTTTGGGAGAAAAGTGTATGGGACCAGTTGGTGAAAATTTACACATTTTCTGATATATGTTAGTCACTAAACTGGAAACGGGTAGATAGAAAAGTATTTTTAAAAGCAATTTATTTGCATATTTTCGCAATTTAGCGACTCAGCTTCAAGGAAATAATAATGTTACATAACTCATTTCCATAGCTATTATTATTATATATTTTTTTGTACTAACAGTGGTTTAAATATATATTTTTGTAATGAACGGATTATAAACTACCACAACAATCCCTTCCTCTCATATTTCTAGTTTTCCAGCTCATTAAATGCTGGAATTCTTCCAGTCAGTTGGTCCTTGCATTAGGCTTTTGCATTGACTAAGTAAGCGTTCTTGCACAAAAAACGTCTCCGGGTTGAGGTCGAGAGATCGCGATTTGAATAATTTACGTTGAGAAAATTAGTAACACCTCTTCCAAAATGAGCCAGCCATCATATAAAGAGAACATCGTCTATCTGATTTCAGGAGGAATGTCGTCAAGTAGTAAAGACAAAAAATTCCCGTAAAAGAAATGTGGTCCAATGACTTCGTTTCTCCAACCCAATCGTTTACGACGAATGTTCTCTGAAAATGGGTTTTTCGAATAGCATGAGGGTTTTCGATTGACCACCAGTGGAATATAACGTACAGCTTTATAAAATAGCGCGCTATATTTTTCTAGCGAAAAGAGTCAGTCATATAAACTTGCAGCTAAAGCTGTGATATAACATTATTGGATATCGCGGGAGAAAAAAATCGAAGTAGTCGTCTACTTATCGCACCAGCAAAGCTATATTGAAAAGCGTTTAGAATTTAACGTTAATTATGTAGCGCCCAGTGTTTTTTCACTAAATCTACTGTTCCACTGTTTTCATTAAAAAATCTCCTGTTATTTTAAAAATAGAATGCATTAATTTTTTACTTGATATTGAGTTAAACAGTGAAACAAAGACTCACGCGATCTTACGGTTTGATACTATTTACTTTTATGATTGGCTGGTGCTCTGAATTTGAAAACTCACATCCGCTACCTGATATATTAGAGTGAACAACCAACCTTTTATTACTAACAGTCAATAATTTCCGAACAATTTTTCTTTAAAGTCCAGATATTTAAGTGGCTATTATTGATAAATTGCTATTATATGAATTTATTTCAATTTCTCCTTAATTTTATATGCAGAGGCACCTTAAAATATAAACAGACTCACAGAACATATACAACATTTAGTTGAAACTATAGAATAAGTGAAAACGGTCAGTTTGTCTATAAAAATAAGCATTTTTATGCGCGCTATTTGGGCGCGCTGCCGCAATACAGCTGTTATTCCTATACTTACCACATTGGATCATTATAAATAAGACTAAGATTGGAAAAAGTAAAAAGCAAATAATTTTAATAAAGAGAGATGTATTTAAAACCTATTAGTGTGACATATAAACATGACTTAACATTACATACAATCACATCTTTGCTAGATTTAAACAATAATTGTAACTTTATACAATTATTGTATAAAGTTGGCGTGGTTAAAATTTACTTGTTGCGAAATTGAACACGATCATGTTTTCCATTAAAACTAACAGAGATTGTTTGATAAAGAAATCAGAAAATCTAAATTTACTTAAACAATTGAGAACAAATGTGCACTAAACTTGACCACTAAACTAAACATAATAATGCAAAATCAAGACGATGTCGTTAAGTAGGTTTACATTACGCCATTATCGACATGAAAGTATTAGAAAAATTGTTGAAAGCTTTAGAAATTAAGAGATCAAGCTCTTTTAGCAGTCGGCATAACGGGGCTAATCTGCATGTACATGTATGTGTACAGGTGAGAACAAATTAGCCCAGTGACTAAAATGAACTTAACACTAATAGTGATCATTGCTTATATCTATAGAAAATCATAAGTTAGTTAATATATTTTCTGATTTCCATTTTCATAGTAATGTATCTATATGTTAGCTATAATAAAGCCATTTACTCAGTGCTTCACTACAGTTCTAACAAATTCGGTGTTTCAACATCAAATACAAAAAATATACCACCATGCTTATAGCGATATATTGCAAGAAACTAAAAATATAATACTACAGAATAAGAAGTTGACAAACATTATATACGAGGGTTTCTGTTTCTTGGTAATAATGTAGTATACTCTGTTTCGCTTCCCAAATGTTCTGCGTTAGTGCAAGTCAAGTATGATCAAGATAAGAAGATAAAAAAGTGGGGGTTTCCAATAGATTATTTTACTATTCCCCAAAGTGATGTTGAAACTTTAAAACAGCCTCCACTTTTACCTAAATATCATAACCTGATTTGCTAATACTTAGCTTTTGAACATTTAAGGTTTGGCAAATTTTGTCAAAGAAAAAAGATAAATAAGTAATTTTACATAAAACTTTTATAACCGAATCAGAAAAAAACATGTTTAAATTTATTAAATCCAGACGAGTGCCAAAAATTTAATTCAAATAACACTATGCAACTCATATAACAATTTGAGAAATTCGTCTCTTAGGCACTCAACTTACACAGCCAGCAGAAAGAGACATGAAACAACCGCATACAGGGTATTATTAGCATACAGTACAGAAAGTACGTAAGAAAAACACCCAAAATGCACAATTTGTTCGGACCATTGACACTATTTTATTTCTAATATTTAAATAATAAAAAAAAAACTGATATTGATCGGAGGAAAGTGGAACGAATCCACAGTATAATTAATTCACCGGAATATTACCTAATGCATGTCTAACCGCAAGATACGCTATTCTATAGAGTGAGTCAGGTTTTACTACTAAATATCTTAATCCGGAAGTCGTTTTCAAGACACATGATGGAAAATAATTTATTAGCCTGGACATCCACCCGATTTGTGATAGTTTAGGTAACAAATGTGGAAGATTTAGTTTGACAACAATCTGAAATGTGCGTACTTAAAGTCAAATGGTTTGGATGAATATTCTACCCAAATTCTAATAAGTTTAGTCAGTTGGGGTTTGCCTCAGAAATGCATGTTTTAGACCATCGACTTTCCATGTTATTTGTGAAAAAAACAATATTTAAGAATATTTTGGTATTCGAGCTTTACTAATAGAAAGGAAAAGCAATATAGTTTATATGAAAAACTCATATCCATGAGACATACATATTAAGATATATTTATATTTCCTAAATATACAGGGTGACTCAGCGAAGCGAGACCTCCCCTCTTAGATCGTACACAAATAGCGACCGGTCATATAAGAGTTGTCGTTGTCACCAAATTAATTGTTTCTGTTAGTCTAAAGTACTACTGGGTAGCTCAAAGTAAAGTTATGACAGTCCAGTTTTTTTAAATGGAATTTAATGTATCGTGAGTGCCGGGCTTTATGCCGCCTTTTCTTTTTTAAAAAGTCGTAGTATCGTTTTTGCTCTGATCACAATTTAGTCATAATATTGGTTACGTGCTGGAAGGGTCATAAATCATAGTATAGTCAGATTCGGTCACAAGTAAAATATGTATTAGTGTTTGTTTTAATTTGAAATAAAATTGTTTTTAAAAATTGAAGTTTCAAATTGATCAATAAAACTGTAGTAGAAACAAATACTTTGACAACCACAACCCTTATATGAACGATCTAAGAAAGGGTCTCGCTTTCCTGACTCACCCTATATATATATATGCTCAAGATGTTTGGTACATTTAATACAAACCATTGTCCACGATCTCTAAACAAATAACGTTCTACATGCAAAACGACGATAGTTTCATCACCATCAGAGCCGCCAAAGGTTTCGCGGTAAGAACAGATTTCGGGTCTGTTAGTATTCATCAGATGCGATTAGCCGGAAAACAGACTTTCTACACTCGTACTTATATTTTACATTGATTACAATCGAATTACAGGTTTAGGCAGAATACTGCCTAAAACTGGAGAAACAATCGTTTTTCTTATAAATCCAGCGGATGAGAGCTAATAGGAGCTAAAACGATTTATGCAGCCTGAGATCTGCACTTACTTATATCGAGGTTCTATTGTCTACTTACGTGTTCCGTTTTAGCGATGAAACCCGACTCAATCTACATGAAATTAAAGTAAATAAATATGCTGACGCAATACATTTATCCTGAAAGGATGGGTTAATATTTCGAGATCAATTATTACGCATTCGTAATTATGAGATATGACGATTGAATAGAGCAACGATGAATGGAATTTATTTTTATTTACATACATGTATGAATAAGACACTGAACTAGATGGGAAGAATGACCTTAGTTTGAATTATTTGGTCTTTCCCAGTATACACAATGACTGTTATCAGTAGGTTTTAAAAATTAGAATTTAGTTAACTCGCCCTTTACGCAAGGGGATATTTACATCAATTAACTACAATTGTGATGTAGAATACATATAAACATGAATTAATTTTCAGTCGCGTCACTTTCTGACCAATATTTTTAGTATCCTACTATCACTTAGTCTACTCAGGCCAGTTATCGTTGCACATTTTAATATAATGTAAAATGTCAAATCATTAAATTATTGTATTTATCAAAATGCAGGTGTAGCTCTATGTGTTACATCGAACATCCATCAAGTAAGCCACGTTCTAATTACAGTCAATTTAACGTTAAAATACATCTAGACCATGTATTTTACAGTGATAATATACATTTTCTCACTTATTATAATCTAGCCACTTTTATGTGACTATGACCTGGGGTGATTTGACTTTTGACTTGTATCATCGAAACGCGTTATACCAGGATATAAAATGGCCAGACTATTTTGATATCAAAAAACACTTCCATGCTGCACATGAAATTGGTACTAAGCTAAAGAGACCCAACTTGCCAAATCAGATACAACTTATTGCTCTACTAATATTAAACGTGTGCTAAAACAAAGACTAGAAATTACGCGAAAGCAGGCAATTTCAACTGAAAAATTCGTTCCCATCAGACGAACACAAATACGATATTTTATCACATTTTGACTAAAATGATTTCAGATTTTTCTAAGCAAACAACTCAAAACATTTGGGATCGGATTAATTACAGTTTCATTAGAAGAGCTATCTTGCTTTGGCTAATTAAAAATCAGACACAATTGCGGATGATTGATTTAAATTTCAAGAATTAATTAATCACTGTGATGAGAAAATATACGTTACATTGCATCAAGTTCAGTTGACGAATAACTCCTCTAAAAAATAAGCGGCAGAACTAGTAATAAATAAATGTTTCACTGACGATCCTCAGTACGAGGAACATTAGGAGAAGTAGCTGTGGACAATAGAATATTTCCAATTGGACTGAAACGATAAGCTGAGCTTAATCAATAATTAATTACATCTTTCACGTGCTTTTTTATTAGCCAAAACACTTTATAAACTTTTAAACGCTTAAGACCAGTCTATAGAAGTCTATACATCAATATTGATATTGCTGTTGGTAGGAATTACATGGAAGTCAAATATTGTAAAAAATTGAGCAAACTTATATTTATACAATTACAAACTAGGTGAATCAATATTTGGTTGTGATAACACAAAAAAAATCGCATGCATATATTGCTAAAAAAAAGATCTGATTTTAAAGAGACTCAATTTTTTGGCGCATTGCATTTGTAGTCTATTAACAGTTGAACTGTTTTGACCAATACTACATACGATCAGATCCGAAATTAATTAATGATAACCAACCAAAAATGAGAAATAGCTCTAATAGAAGACGCAGAATTTCGAGATACGTACAATTGATGACATCAAATTGTGCTTCATTTACAGAAGTATCACAAAAGCTTTTTCATAGTCTCTAGCCTGGTCACTGCAATGATAAACTTATTTCAATACATGCGGAACCAGAATGCGTATCTTGGAATCTTTTTAATAAAACTTTAATTTATAAAGGCAAAGATTAAAATGAAACAGAATGCATTGATAATTTTATTATTAAAAAAAAACGAATTGGCCATGAACAATGACAATTGGTTTCTTTATATCAGGAATTCTGAGGCAAGGTAAAGTAATTTAAATTAAAATAGTATATAGTAATATATAGAATACATACTTCTTTTGATTAAAATATATAATAATTCAAAAGTAAATAGTTTTAAAAGCAAGAATTTATACGATATTGATTTGAATTGAATAATACTGCAATTTTTATTAATAACTAATATTGAAAAGCTATAAACAATATTTATGTATGGAATTAAGGTAGAAACTAGATCAAACGTCATGGGTTTATAGCAGTTTTTAAAAATTTTAAAGATTCCGAGAAGGCATTTAATGGACATGGACCAACAAGGATTAATTTCAATATTCCAAATCTACTCCTGCTTGGCTATTGTAAGTCCAAATACCCCTACCCGTAAGGAAACATAAAAGGCAGTACATTTTTAAAAATTTTAGATTAAACACATCTCTATTGCACTATAACTCCCTCAATGAATATGAAATAAATATCGTGAAATGATAAAAAAAACTAAAGCAGTCAATTGTTAGTTGTTCGGACATCACCCGATAAAAAGTGTTGATTTCCTAGTCTATATCAGAGTATATACCTGCTGTACCAATCTAAGCTAATCGCGACCATTCGAATATTATCAAAACAACAGTGCTAACCAGCTTGAAACATTCGCTAGTCCAGGTCCAGGCGCAGATATATAATGTGATCAAACACTTTTGCAAGTCTTAATTACGTAAACTTTAAAGCTTTATAGAAAAAGTGAGCAAAAATAATGGATGAATCAACATAATAGGAAAACCTTGATCTAGACAAAATGTATTATGCCAATGCAAAACACATTATGCAATGCAACAATCAATACTTTTCTCCATTTAGAAGCTGTAAATATCTCATAGCATCGAGTTGATTAATCAAGAATACCAGTATGTACAACATTTTTGATTCCTGATGCAACTTTTCATTTAAGCTGAAAAGTGATACTAAACACTTAAGTATAATGATATCGGTAAATTTGCAGGATTAATGTAAATCTCGCTTAATTAATTATCAATCTGCTTCAAGTTTTCATTATTCCTGCCAAAATACAATAACGTGTCTATAATGACCGGCAGAGTCTCTGGTTTTAAAGTTTTAAAAATACATAACTTAACGGATGTTGAAATGAAATCATCAATAAGCAATTCGAACTATTTTTGCCTGTTATTTCATTCAATTTAGAGATATTATTTAAGCTATAAATGCATTATTTTACAATTTCTATTTTCACAATTGACAATCGTGGTTCATCCAGAAAGCAGAAAAAATCATAATGGACGAACAAGAAATAAAAACAATGAACCATAATCAGATAAAACGCTTTTTTCATCAAATTAAATTTCCTGATTTTTTTTGTTGAATAAGGAATTTTGAGCCATTCTAGCAATTATCCGAATATTCTGCCGGCGCTTGCACACAATATAAATGCTTGTCAATCTTCCCAATTTCACACAAACTCCAAAATCTAATCCTGCAAACTTAGCAACAATCTCACACTGTTCTACCAACAAATCTAAAAATGCTTTATGTGTTGTGCCGTTGATGTCTATTTTGGTATTCCAATTGCATCCAACGGTACGTAGCCCAAAGCGCCAACAAATCACTTCTTCGATCAAATATTTGACTTTCAACGCAACAACGATACAAAAAGTAATATCTACCACGTCATGCATTTCCATCACCATAAGATACCTGATGTCCTGATGTTTTTGGCGTTCTCGGACCACCAATTGATCCACTTCTTTGAATTGCAGCATTATTTTGGTCAATCTAAAGTTCAAATTTAGAAATAGTACGTACATCTAATAGTTAAAACCGTCAAATTCATGACTGATTTACCCAAAGTATTAACGCACGTATACCAAAGATTTTATAAAAATTCCGTTTATATCATCGACTAAAAGTGATTTAATTGGAAAAAAAATCAATGAAATACAGACTAGGAAAGATAATCTTAAAACGTTATATTGTCAAACCCTAGGTACGGTAGGGTATTTTTTCCAAAATGCGGACCAAAATTTTCAAGAAGTGACGTGCTTCCAAAAGACAACCGGCTTTAAGCTGAAGTCTTATGCATTCGATTTTCGATGGTCCGCCAAGTTTGCTATTGATCAGATAGTTTATGCATATATCCGATTGCATACGAAGTGATTTTATTATTCGATGATTAAGATGCAGAGTTTCACAAAAATCGGCTACAATCCTGAGTTTTGCCCGCTTAAAAAATATCGGTCTCATAACTGACACCTTTACTAGGCTCGTGCTCTCTTTAAAAATCAGCATCTTTTAAACTAAAGCGAGTGGCAATTTGAACGTTTCACCATCTTTAGAAGACGTTTTACTGATTGTTGGGGGCTTGATGAATACCGATCTCAAAACGGAAGTTTTTATTCAACGACGTTCTTTCCATTCGTAAAAAATTCACATCTTGCAAACAAATGCCACAGGGAATTCGACATTTTCACCACCTTTAGAAGACACGCGATTCTACACATGCATAAAGTTTCATAAAAATCGCCCTTAACACTGATTGTTGCCAGCTTGATGAATACCGATCTCAAAATAGAAGGTTTTACTCAACGACGCTCTATCCGTTAAAAATTCACATCTTCCTAACTAGCGCAAGTAGCAAGTTGAATTTCTCACCATCTTTAAAAAACTTTTGAATGTAAATATGCTGAGAGTTTGATTAAAATCAGCTAGAATTTTTATTTCGCTAGCTTAGTAAATGCTAGCCTCAAAACCATCATATTAAATAAAAAATGAGACTCAACTAGTGAGACCTACCTTTTCCCCTGGAGGTCGCGGTAAACGCCTTCGCAGCCAACCATGCCGCAAGGCCTGGGCGGGTGTCATTCGCTCATCTGGATCCCACTCCAGGCAGCGCGCTATGAAGTCGAGAAATAGAGGATCTTCGCAGCCTTTCAAAGCTCTTTTTAAGTCCTTACTTCCCGGAGGACCTCTAGGTTTACCCCTACGACTAACGCCCACAGATAATACGATCGAGCCTGAAACAAAACAAGCGCCATAGATTTGATGTCGATTTTAAACCATTATACCAAACCTACCATCGTCCAAGGTGGAACAGGTACAATATCGTGGAATTCCTTTCGAACTGATAAAATTCTTGGCTCGTTTCGATTGGTCCAAAAGCTTTTGAGGTGGATGATCTAGCAATTCCATTATGCATGCTAGTTGATCCCCTTCGTCTTCTCCAGGCAGCAGAGGAAATCCCATTAATAGTTCTGCTAAAATGCACCCGAGCGACCACATATCTATAGGCATACCGTACCGGGCGCCCAAAATAACCTCAGGAGCTCTGTAGAAGCGAGACTGAATATATGTGTAAACTCTATTTTGCTCATAACAAGATGATCCAAAATCTATCACCTGCAATTAAAATTATCCTAATTTAACTACTTGAAACACAAATTAAATAAAACTTGACTATTTTAGGCGCTGATTGATTGATGATGATGATAAGTAAGAAACATACAGTGGAGTGCGGCTATTGAATTTACGCGATTTTTTCCCGATAAGACAAACGCATTTTTTTCCCCGAATTCAATTTATAAAGAACGCCCGCCTAAAATAAACAAAATTTATTTACCAGACGTTAAAATATTAGGTTTATACTCGTTTTTGTGAGCTTTTCTCGGACTTCAACCTAATAAGACCGGGTGTTTTATTCGTTTGCTTAAATTTTCTCTCTGGGGTTTTGATTGCAACTTGTGTGACCAACCATTCTTTTAGTCCAAAAAGTACCATACAATGAAAATACATACATTTGTCTGAGTGCCAATAGAGTATTGAATAATGGAAGTGTGCAGACCATTTTTTTTACTTTTTTCATTTAGAATCAGGTTCACTGTATCATGACGCTACTGTATAAATAACGCAAACAAATAAAGATTGGCTGATATATATTACCCAGCGATGTTTATCTGACTCTATTGCTTTATACGAGAATAATCGCCTGGTAAATGGATTATATAGATGTTTGCTTAGGATGTAAGAAATGGGCTTTGGTGAAATTAAAAAATGTATATCTCAAAGTGCGTAATATTTTAAAAAAATCTTAAGCATTTATTCCAAGCTTAAAATAGAATAATTTTAAAACGTAACCTTAACTATGAAGCTAAAAATAGGTAGAGGAATCAAATCCAGTCATGATGTAATGAATTTAAATTCCAGAACAAAATATAGGTGGTACAGGCGTCGTAAATATGCAATATTATATTAGTATATTTGCTGATAAGATAAGAATTTAGGAATAAAACAAACAGTTTAAATGCATACAAATTTTAGTAAAATCTTAATTACCTTTAATCCACTTCTGCCCTGCTGCTTCAGGAGGATATTTTCTGGCTTCATGTCACAATGAATAATTTTATTCTGATTCAGTGCTTCTAAGCATAAAAGCAACGAGTGGCAGAACTTTCTGACAAGCTGTAGACTAAAACCTTTGAATTTGTTTTTTTTTATAAGTTCATACAGGTTGATGGAAAGCAATTCAAAGGTTATGCACATGTGATTTCTAAAGTTAAATGAATCCAACATATGTATTATGTTCATTGTATTGTCTTTATCCTGCTTGCGTAGGTGTTCTAAGATTCTAACTTCTTCTAATGCTTGTCGATGAAATCTTTTTTTATTGCGAACCATCTTCAGTGCAACATGCGTGTGACTAGCATGATCGTAGGCTTTAACCACTTGTCCGAATGAACCTTTTCCAATCACTTTAAGAACTTCATATCTATAAGCTATATGGTCATGAGGAATGTGAATGTAAGATCCTTGTTCATTGTCATAGTCACAGTTGTTGGGGTTCCCTATAATTCCTGGACGTTTCTTAGAATTCAATCCAAGGAAGTAAATGTGTGGGTAGTTATAAATCTCATGCTGCTCATATGGGGTGAGCTTGGGAGAATAAATATTCGCCACTTGTTCAGGTGTTAATATCATAGCACGAAGCTTTATATCATTTCCAATGAGACTTACAAGCGACGTCTGAGAATTTTTAAGTGAACTGTGCATGTTACTTCTTGATATACACTGCGTCCCCAAACTGGAAACACTCAAATCTGGAAGAGTCGAAGAATTTGCAGAACTCGCTGTCGACGGCATTGGAGGGCTTTGCTCTTTGGCAGAACTTTGCTTTAGAGGCGGTAAATTGCCTCCACCTCCCTCTTGGTTATATTGTGCATGTGATGAAAAAAGTTGAGTTCGAGACATAGGCATTTTAAGAGGATTAACTGCTACAGCACTAGACATTCTCAGACGCCCGACATAAATTTGGGTGCCCTTTTTTCTGTGTTCAAATGCCACGAACGCACCCTTGAGATCATAACTTGACTCCACTGGTTATCACCCCCGTTCTCCTGTCACATCACCAACATTTGGAGCAGTTCTCTATTCCTGCTACTATCGACATGTGAGGGCTAAACTGATAATTAAAACATTTTTGGTATCATCCTACAGCCAACTTTTAGTCGACAGATCTGTTTTTTTGTCAGGATTTCACTATAAAAACATTCAATCACGAACAAAGACTTTGGGTTATTTTACAGCCATATTTTTGATGCCAAAGGAACTGTCAATCGGTGACAGATTATCGCAAGGCATGAGACATAGACATTATTTTCGCTAGGCCTAATCGATACCCGAAATACATCGCGCTTTCAGTATCGAAAATACCAAGTAATTACATGTTATTTTTGTTATTTAATATGCCAATTTTCTTGAAAAATTCGAAAAAAAACTACACATTTAAATAACAGTAAAAAAGTTGTTAAAAAGTTTTGAATGCGGGTTTAAATAAAATAATTGAAAAATTCGTAGTTAACAATAATTTGAGAGAATTTCCCCAGAGAAAAAAGAAAAGCAACTTTTTTTTAAATAGATAGTATACATTTTTACCATTTAAGTAATATTGACTTAGAAAAAACGTGGGCTGGCAACATGGGCATTGTGTTGTTGATGCTCCACCCACTTAGGATAACCTTAAATTTTTGATGTTTACTGCAAAAGTGTCAAAAAATTTCTTGTTTCACTCATGTACAGTTGACGATTGATGATTGTTTCTTTTAAAAACTTCCAGACAATACAGAGATAAAAAGTCAGCGTTTACTGAACCGTAGTGAGTATCTAGTCTTCATGCATAACGGCACTGGACAAAATTAGAGGGAGGAAAAACATGTACAGGACAAATTATGTTTTTGAAGTAAAGGTGGATCTTAAACCTCCCATCCCCTAAAACTATGAATAATTCCATTTAGTATTGTGTGAGGTAGTGATGCAGGCAAAAAGGCGATATTTGCTAGTATTTGTCGTAGCTTTTCTAACAATTTGGTACTTTGGGGGCTATCACTTTCGGCATAAACCAAGTGTTCCTTTTAACGAAGAAGTACTATCCAGCTATGTCAATTTGGATACTATAGATACAGGATACGCAATAGGCCGAGATAGGCACATCACACAAAATGATGCAAAAGTCCTCTGTAGAATGGAAACTTGTTTCGACTTCAGTAGATGTGAAAAAGACTTTAAAGTTTATGTTTATCCACAAGAAGAAAACAATATTCCCAGTCCGTCCTACTTGAAGCTCCTAAATGTGTTGTTAGAATCACGTTATTATACTTCTGATCCAAAGGAAGCATGCTTATTTGTCCTAAGTATGGATACATTAGATAGAGATCGTCTTAGCGCTGACTATGTGAGAAATATGCAAAGCAAAACTCAAAGACTGCCTTACTGGAATGATGGCCTTAACCATGTCATTTTTAACTTGTATTCTGGTACTTGGCCGAACTATACCGAAAATAATTTGGATTTTGATTATGGCAAAGCTATATTAGCTAAGGCAAGTATGTCTGAGGATCATATTAGGCCTGGATTTGATATAAGCATTCCTCTGTTTCACAAAATTCATCCCGAGAAAGGTATATTGATTCTACTGTATAAGAGCTTTAGTTTAATTTTTATCATTGAAGGTGGACACCCAGGGTCGAATTCTGCAAACAGTTATCCTTTAGAGAAAACCTATTTATTGGCCTTTAAAGGGAAACGTTATGTACATGGCATTGGCTCTGACACTAGAAATTCTTTATACCATCTACATAACAGGAAAGATATGATAATGGTTACAACTTGCATACATGGGAAAAGTTGGAAAGATATGAAAGATGAACGATGCGAAGAGGATAACAAAGAATATGAAAGGTTTGCATAAATATATTTTTCCAACTCATGAAAATTTACTCTTCGCAACTTCTCGCTTTTTCCAAATTTGCAAACATTTCGTTATCTTGCAGATACGATTATGAAATGCTATTGCAAAATTCAACATTTTGCTTAGTGCCCAGAGGTAGAAGATTGGGCTCGTTTCGATTTTTAGAAGCTCTACAAGCGGGTTGTATTCCTGTTTTATTATCAAATAGTTGGGCGTTACCATTTTCAGAGGTAATTGACTGGAATAAGGCAGTTATTTGGGCAGACGAACGATTGCTATTGCAGGTACTATTCAATATAAAGTAAATTGGGTACATGAGGCACGGAAACTTGCACGCGGGTGTTTTTTTAACTGTGGGTTTTTTGTGGGTTTAGGTTCCTCATATTATTCGCTCGATATCACCAAGCAAAATCCTACAATTACGCCAACAAACACAAGTGTTGTGGGATAGGTACTTTTCGTCAATAGAAAAAATAGTCTATACCACACTGGAGATTATAAGGGATAAACTTCCAAAGAAACAAAAGCGAGATGGTACCATATGGAATTCTTTCCCAGGGGCTTTGCTCACTTTACCAACCTTCTCAGACTCTCTGCAAGACTTTCCATTTCATGTTGAATCAGATATCAACAAATTTACTGCTGTTATATACTGTCAGCTTGGTAAGTAGATTTTCTATTTTACGAAAATAATGGTTGACGCTTTCTCGAAAAATATGTATTGTTTTTGGTTCTCGTGAGGCGGTATCCGCATAGTCCAAGCGATTTTCACAATACTGGTGAATTAAAAAAAAGAAATATTTTAAATAAAACGTTATCAGATGTATATTGAAAGTTAATCGATATTGAGAATCACGTATTTAGGCCAATGATCAAAAATCCGCCTTCAAAACCCGCTTTGCTGCCGTTTAATTAGACAAAAACGAGTTCTAGACCTTTTTATGATTGCCACAAAACAGAAGCATCGCTTAATTTGCTAATGGCTTTTCCGAACCAGCCTGAATGCGCTCCTGGCTGCTGTCCTCAAATTGCTAGAACGCGTTGAGCGCATAAAAATAATTCACTGTTCAAATAAGGTTTTTTGTGTAGGTTTTAATGTTTGTTAAAAAATGGTGGCATCAATTCTAGACAATCAAAATATGCAAGCACGTAAGGTTTAGTATCATTATATAAGAGTTTTAAAATCGTATTTTAATGTTTCCTATTTGTTTAATGATTTAATGGCGATTTCATATTTTGTTCGTTGTCATTTTCCGGCCTTTTTACTCGGTTGGCCTGTGGAAGGGCTTTTACATGCATGTTCAAATAAAGATTTCATATAAACGCGTTTGAAAAACACGATTTTTTGTTTTTGGTTAATATTGCAGTTGTTAGCAAAAATGGAGCTATCTAATGCCGCGTCCCAACGAGTCGATCCCGAGCCGAAGGTTTTGTCAAAAGACCGACAGACGATCCATTTTCTGTCGGTGTTTCGACGAAACATCAAAGAAATTTGCTCTGCGATTCAGCCTCGGCCTGTTGTGTAGGCTATTTTGTATTGTTTCATTTGCTATCCTGTAGATAACGTTTCTACAGGGTAGAAACTATAAACTAACACTATAACACAAAAAAAACACTATAAACATCAAATGCTGATCGCTACTATTTTCCGAAGGCACTCGACAAAGTATGGCAATCAAGTTTTTTGTGATTCTCCTTACACAATCACTAGAGGAAAGATGCGATATTTCAATCCATCTGCAAAAATCATCTCTGAAAGTATTTTTTTATATTTTAATTTCATATATAAAAATGTTTTCGTTCGAATCTATGACATTGTCCTTGGATGTTTTACTTGTGTGTTTGATGCGTGCTAGTAATGAGGTAAAAGCCACAATAAGTTCAGGCTCATTTTTGAATGGCTGTAAACTGAAACTTTTTTGAAAACGGTAAAAAAAAATTATTTAAAATATTTGCTCTGGTAATCGCGGAAGGTCCAGAACGCATCCTGGTGTCCATTAAACCACCTCGGTGTAGTATAGTAGTGCCCAGAACGTATTTTGGGTGAATTTTCCCGTTGTTGGCCCGAATCGGCTTGATCTTAACACGTTGGATTACCGAAAACTCAATTCAAATTACCCCTGAAAAAAAATTGTTGAAAATTACTCTTTTTAATTGAAAATTCGCAAGCTACTTCTAGGAAGAATTCTTCTTAGGATCACAATTCCTGAGTAACAGAGTGATTTTATTCCAGGTATAACTTTATCACAAACCTCGACACTTTACAGACTAGTCAGTTACGTGTCCCGAAGTAAATATGTAGCAAAAATTCTCATAGTGTGGTCAAATGACAAAAGACCACCGAACAGAAATCGTTGGCCACTTTTACCTATACATATTCCTTTACATATCATCCAAACTGGAAGCGGCCTGGAAGGAAAATCCAGCATTTCTCAGCGGTTTTACCCGCACAAAGAAATTAGGACCGATTCTGTTCTTTCGTTGGATGAGGATACGATACTTACCACTGAAGAAATTGATTTTGCGTTCGTTGTTTGGAGGCAATTTCCTGATAGAATTGTTGGGTATCCTGGTCGATCGCATTATTGGGATGACTCCAAATCCACTTGGGGATACACTTCCAAATGGACTAACGATTATTCGATCGTGCTGACGGGAGCAGCCTTCTATCATCGGTATTACAACTACCTTTATACCGAATGGCTGAGTCCATTGCTACATAAAACCGTCGAACAGAGTCAAAACTGTGAAGATATACTCATGAACTTTTTAGTCAGTCACGTTACACGTAGACCTCCAATTAAAATAACTCAAAGAAAACAGTACAAAGAACAGCCAAGCGCCGGTAGTTGGTCTCCATGGAATGACCCAGACCACTTCATTCAAAGACAAACCTGTCTCAATACATTTGCAGCGGTTTTTGGATATATGCCACTGTTGAGATCAAATTTAAGGCTAGATCCAGTGCTTTTTAAAGATTCGGTATCGAATAAAAGGAAAAAATATAGGAAAATTGAACTGGTAGGAAGTTAATGGATAACTAGTTCAAATATGGTGTGAATATAATTTCCATTAATGAAGCTACAAGCGGCAATTGAGATGCATCGGATGTACAATTTTCACGAATGCTTTATGATACTATAATAATATCAATATGCCAGGGTTTTCCAATTCCACGTATAGTTAGGTTCTAAAATTTAAAACCGTGCCATTTTCTTTTATTCTCCCCATTTTTTTAGATTGTAAGTAAGAGATACGAATCAAAAGAGATTTTTTTATCTCCACAAAATAAGCGCATTGATTAAAATCGCTAAATATTACCTTGATCTGTAAAACTTGGTTAAAAAAAGCATATGTTCTTTTTCCCGATAAGAGCAGCACCCAAATCATATAAACTATGACCGCTTTGAAGTCATGTTCTACTAGTTTACTATGATACGATCTTAGCTTTTATTGAAGCACAATAGCTAAAAGAGCAGCTTAATAGTCCAAAAACTTTTTAAATACGAATGCATAAACATTTACAGTTTGTGTAGTTCGCACTGAAAACAGAATAATTTTTCAAAAAGTAATTGTTTATTTTAGAATATTTTGCTTTTTTTGATCTACTTTTGAAAGAAAATAGTTATTCAATAAATCTTAAATATGAATATGGTGGTAAAGTCCACCTACCTACCAAAAATAAGCAACTTTATATAAAACCGTGTACATATATATGTAAAGTTAGTTTTTATATAACGATTTTGGGAGACCTATTTTACGCCATGATAGTTTATACAATTATTTTCAGCAAATATGGGCTTAACAATAAAGTAGAATCAATTAAGTAAAGCAATATATGTAAGATTGAAATGGACTGTATATCAATTGATAATTTTTAAGTCATCAGTAATGAATTTATATATTTATATTTATTAGGTGTATTGATTTAACTAGTCATTTAAAACGTATATTGCTAAATTTTTGAAAATTGCTTCAATTTAAATTCAAACTTATTCTTGAATCGGATATCTACAGGGTGGCTGAACATATTTTTAAACATTATTATCGTCCAAACTTCAAACTTAGACACCAGCCAGCATTTTTACTTTCTACGGTGTATCTGAAACAAAATATAATCATCCTGTAATTTTGTCCAATTTTTGCTAGTCATTCACAAGTTTTCTCGCTAATAAAACTAAAATCCGAAAAATAGATGGATATGTCAGATTTATATGGAAATATGTTTACTGTAGTTTTACAGTTTTGCTCAAATATTGCGTAAACACATCCTATTGTCTTGGAAGGATCTACTGGCTTGTACTTAAATGTCGAATGAACATTTAAAAAGTTTATAGTCAAATTTGGTTCCTATTTAATAGACGGCGGCATATACACCTGTACTTATATACTCGCGACGAAAACCAATAAGAATAAGTTTGAATGCATAGTTTTTTACGATAAGTTGTTTATATTATGCTAAGTTTTATTGGTTACCATTGAACTGAACAATGAAAGCTGTTATATTTTCTAAAGTTTATATCTACAGTGGCAATCTTATCACCTTTTTTAATTGTGTATAGTTTATTGAAACAAATTACCCCAATACATCTTTTCAATATTTTATACTGAAAATGCAGTTTTTTTTGTAGACGTAGAGTAGATAAATTATTCCACTTTATTTACTACAATATTTGGTTGAGAAGTGGCGCTAGTGTGTTTATTTCGATTTGAATAAATACTGTTTAATTAATGACCCTCCAATGCAAAAAAATCTGGAAAGGACGAAACAGCAAATAAAATAAAATCAAATTTATTTTTAAAATAATTTTATATTAAGCAAACTTATTGCGTCATACATACAATTGAGTTCTTAAAAAAGAAAGAATAAAATAATTCTATTTCAATCGCAATACACCTAATTTCATAATTGAATTACAATAAAGTCGCATTTTATTCATAATCTTAGATCAAATATATACAACTATCGTGTTGATTATATAAAAGTTTAGCTTGTGAGAAGGGCAACATTGATTTCTTTAACCATTTTAACACGATGTAGCATTTTTTCAAGTGCTTCTTTTGGTAGGGGCATTGTGGAATACCATACCGGACTATCCGGGACACAGGACCGTTCTGGTTGCAGATAAAACACATCATTTCGAGTTTTTACACTTTCAGGGCTAAAAAAAGGAAAACTGTTAATACACCTTGTAAAGATTTAAAAAGCTACTGTTACCATTTCGATAAGTAAAATTCATACAATTTTACCGGGCATCTGAGAGGGTTTTCTTCATTTTCTTGTTGTTCATATACTTTCTTTTTCCTCTGGTTATTTTCTAAATTACAAATCATACGTAAACATATTGAATTACCAATGTAACTGCAAACTTACGAAGAGCAGACTGAGGAGGGTAGAATCGCAATAATACGTTTCTCGATCCTGGAAGTTTGCTAGCACCTGGCTGGTTAGGGTTTCGTTTCCAATGTTTCATAATATGTGAGAAAGACAACTGCATATGTTCATCAACGGTCTAGAAAGGAAAAAAACCCAGTAGGTAATTCCTTAAGGGCAAGCATAAGCAACGACTCACCGTTAAATTGAAATGTTTGGTATTAAAAAACATCAATGTACTGAGCAAAACATGTGGTGAATGGGCGCCTAATTGCTTGCTTTCCCATAAATGTTCTTCCTCGACTCTTGTTACAATATAGTGCGAATCATTATATAAAACTGAAAATTTCTTGGCAACTTCGTCCAGACAATCAGTAAATTTTTCGTAATAGGGATCGCAGAAAATATTGTCAATTCTGCCATTTTCAAAGAGGTACTGTTGAATACCTAAACACAGATAATAAATTGTGTCAGGGGCGTATTCTTGACCATTTGGTTTCCGCACTTCCTTGACAAACAAACATAACGAATAGTTTAGTTCATCTGCTGTCAGTTGAAGAATTTCAGTTTTGAAGAGCTTTACACGTCGCGATGATTTTTCCAATTCAGCATTTTTCGTGGTAACCCACTGTTTCCATGCATTTACTCCGAATGTGTACTGCAATAAATCGATTAAGCATAACAAGAATGTGAAGAAATATTTCAATCAATACCTTTAGACACATGTTGGCGTCCGGCTTTTCTTGCGGCTCTGGAGGCGGAGGAGGTTGAGCAGGCTGTATCATGGGCATATCCACCTGATGATGTGACATCCTTCGACCACGCTTAGACTGTTGACCACGAGGTGATCCACGCATAGTCCTTTTTCTACCTCGCAGAGGTGATCGTTCTAGTAAATGAGAATGGATTGGTTGTGGATCGTCTACATTTTCTTCCTGAGAATGAGTGTCCGGAGGATGCCCACCTTGAGGAGCTGTGATTGTATTGGCAGTTAGAGCCCCTTCTAGATCCACAGCTGGTTCGTCGAGTTCTAAATTACACATTTTTTCACCTTTATCGAATCATAAATGTTGATTTCTACCTGTGGCCATTTTTAGAGCGATCTGTAGCATGTCATCACCGAATGTATTATTTGTGTCAACAGGTTCGGGACTATACTCTCCTCCAGTTTCGCCTACAGTATCATCAATGTCGCTTTCTGAATCCGTATGATCTTCCTTTTTCTCTTCCGCTACCATTTCTGCCATCATTAATAATTCCGCCTCATACGGATCGGTTGGGATTTTCACCTGAATTTTCTAAAAAAATAAATAATGTGTTAGCGTGTATCTTGTTTCTACTTCCATCCTTGCTCTTACCTTTATTTCTTTCATAATACCAGCTGCACTGTTTCTAGTTGTGGGTACAAATATAGGAATTGGTATTGGAAGTGGAAACGGTACGGGAAAAGGTACTGGTGTTGAAAACATATGACAGGGCGCAGGAACATATATCGGCACTGGTACTGGTATAATTATCTTTTTAATATCCTCGTTGTCTGTCTGTATGCATGCGTCCTTTGTTGTCGGTGTAATTTGCAATCCTGGAACTATATTTTCAATCGCTACTCACATCATCTACTTTCATATTTACCTTTCACGGCTTGCTTTGGCTGACACATAACGCCCACATTTCTCTGAGCGGGACACGGTTTTTCTTTTATAATAAAGTGTTGTTTAACTTGTACTTGAACTGGTAAATCTAAATTTTGTACTCCTTGGACGCTCGAAGTCTGCTGCTGTGGTGTTGACGTGGTGGATTTCGACCGAGTTAATCTAGTTGATGAAAGCGGAGTTAGGCCGGGTGGTAAAAGCGGCGGAGTTACAGACCCATTCGTAATTGCTAGACTTTGAACGTTTGATATTATGGGAAGTTGGGATATGTTTTCGCTTCCAGTAGTCGTTGCTGAAAATATAGAAGTGCTTAAAACCATGTATATACATTCCAATACGTGCGTCTCACTTTAAACCAAAGTAAATCATTCCGGGATATTTTCGAGGATAATTTCTTTACTGTTTCGTAACATTTGTGTGGTAACTTAAAATGTTGATTGATCCCTCGATCGAAAGTGATTCGCACGAAACTGCATTTTGTGAAATATTTTAAAATATTCTGAACTACTCACCAGTATCCGAAACAATAGCCTTTTTACTCTTCTGTGGAGTTCCTGCCGGAATGGGATCGACAACATTATTGAAGGAAAGCTGCTTTGGAAACTGATTTTGAAAATTCATGACACACATGTAAGAGCAAAAGTTCCTCATACTTGCATCGGACATGGTTAAATGGTAAGCGGGGTTTGCCTGCTTCTTGCAAAAATTGCAAGGCGTTGGTTTAGCATTCACAGCGTTTATAGATACTTGATACATATTCAGGCAATTTATGCTGCACATATTGATAACTGGTGAAGTTGTCGAATACTTTTTAATCATATCGAAATTATATTTCTTCACTTTGCACCAGCTACATGGCACGATTTTTCGATGTGCAATTATGTAGATGTTTTCGCAACTATTCGAACAAAAACTATATTGGATATTATCGTAATACATTGTGTGTTGCTCTAAGACAGATTTGTTGAAGTGTCTGCGACACATGGCACACTTTGCAGGTGATATTTTGTTGACAAAAGAAAATGCTACAAAGCAGGGTTCTCCACAAAAGTAATTCAAATTGTTATTATGTTCAAATTCGATTGAAATTACTTTCTCTTCTTTACATACAGAGCAGATAGTTCCTGATTCTACATTTGGGGGCCTATCATTGGTCATAATGTCGTATTTGTCCATACACACTTTCGAACAAAAGTCCTTAAATTGTCCCTTTTCGCCTACAGGAGCCAAAAACCCGTCTGGTCCATTTGACATATCTTGCTGACAATAGGAACATACTTTAAGTCCTTGCTTATACTGCTCAAGACAAGTACTAGTACAAAACTGCCTAATATCATTTCCAAACCGAACACAATATTTTCCTAGAGACGTCGACTTCACATCGCCCGCACAACTGGCACATTTGGATCCGATCATCTTTTGATACTTGGATAAACAGAATTCATTACAGAAATCCATTATTTCCCAAGTTAAGTTACTTTCGATATCATCAGTAACCTTGCTACAAGAAGCGCACTTTCGAATGAATGATAAAGATGGTGGTTCTTTATTTGGGCCCTCCATAAAATTTTTCACTCTCAATCCTTGAGCTTCATCAACAATCATCGTTACTTTCTTTGTGGCAGTATTTTTAAATTGCGTTAAGCAAGTCTCGGTACATATGTATGAAATTTCAGAATCCGTACCAGAGAAATGGTATTTTGCAGTTTTGGTCTGTAAACAAAGAGAAAACGATAATTTTGCTTAATTTATTTGCAATACAATTAATGGAATTAAATATTAGGGTGTCCCATAAGTACCTGTTTCCATTTATTGTTTAACGTTAATTTATGGTGAAACACAGGGTGCTAATAAATATACCGATAAACTTTTAGGAGTGGCAAGACAAGAAAGCAATGGTTTTTGTTGGTTGAAAAATGTTGTAAGCTTATAAGCCGTTGTAAGCTTATAACGTTATCGAAGATAATCAGCTAACGGTCGAAGTTCTTTTCCGCGTTTCACTACGGTGATTGGATAGGGACACAGAAGACAACTTCGACCGTTACCTCATCGCCTCGACCTCTAGTTTTTTAACTAAAGCTACTAAAAAACCCACATGAAAAGTTTACTGATGACGCATGATTAGCAGCCCGACAACAATTTCCAAAAAATTGTAGACATTTTTTTGTATGCAATAAGCTGTTAATTGTCCCATGAACGGTAAAATCGTGAAATTCTTTTTAATAAAATGCAATTGTTCACAAATTTCAACTGGTGGTTTCCGTGTCGGTTAACACAATTCTGAGCAGTTTCCGAACTTGCTTGTGAAATTTAGAAGAATTGATACTTTCAGCGCGCTTTTACGTTCCAGTTCCACGAAATGCTCAAAAACTTCCCAGTCCTTGATTCGCAACAATTGACCGGAAATTTTCTAAAAACTGATATAATTTTCAAAGAAATTCTCATCGCGAAAGTCTTTAAAAGGGGATCAGAAGCTGAAGAAAGAAAACCTAAGCAGAGACCTAAAAGAGCCAGCTAGAGTAATTCAGAATGGCGCGAAAGAAACTTGCGGGGCAACCGAATACCTCAATCAGGAATTTTTCTAAAATAAGATATTGTGTCAACAAACATAGAAATAATTTAATTCCAATCTGAGTCTCATTAAAACTCAAATCAGTTTTGATAGTAGATTTTAGTAGATGAATATATACAAAATCTCACCTCTTTGCACTCGCAACAAAACTGTTCGCTATCTTTTTCATGTCTGTATATTTTAATCTCATCTTCTGAAGACGTTTCTGGCTCATCAGTTTCTTCCTCTGGGGTACTTGATGTTTGATCTGATATATCCTTGAGAGTTGGCAGAGAAGATGCGGCTTCCTTTTCCGCCTATAAAAAGGGATTCGTATTAAAACTGATTATGGCCCAAAAACGTAAGATTTTTCATGAAATAAATCACTAAAATATAACCTACCTCTGTAATCTCTCTTTCACTGTCAGGAATGATGGTGATTGCTTCATCTGATCCCTGACTGTTGTCAATTGAATCGAGTACATCTGTCTCAGTATTGATGGCATCAATGTCTGAATCTAAAATGATATTAAGCTGAATATATATACACAAAAATTGCTTGGCATCTACCATACCTCTGCTATTACTTGTAGCTTTGTCCATTTCTTTTTCATTGTCATTGGCATCAAAATTAACTTCCGCAAATTCTATTCTGTCTTTTTCCATCAGTGGATTCTCTTCAACACTACCTTTAATAGTGTCAATACTAGCTGTTGGTGAAGATTGACTGTCTTCATCAGTTAGTAAATTGGTGGTTTCTTCTGAACTTTGTTCTGTTGGGCCTTGAATGTCTGCAACACTGATTGAATGTAATTCGGGATCGTTAAGAACATTTTCCGGATCATTGGACTGCTCAGGTGAATCTGTGGCCGGCACATTATCTCGACACGAAATATCCATATCATCTTCGGAAATTATTTTGATTGGGTCCATTTCCACATCGTTCAGTGTGGAGTCTTGTTCCTGGTCCTGATCTAGGTCCTTTTCTACATTTTCATAATGCTCAGGAATATTTAAGGTGTCTGCTAGGGGAGAATCACATTGAGTGTCACTACTTTTATGCACTGGTAACTCGTTTACTAATGAAAAGTCCTCATCAGCACTAGTCAGTTTACCAATATCAGGACATATACTGTCTCTATCACTAGTACTATCAAAAACAATAACACTTTCTGTCGGAAGCATTTTTGGTTCTGAATTTAAATCTTCACAAGGGGAAACTTTTTCATCACTTGGCTCATCTGAAGGAAATGTACTGAGAGTTGATATCGGATCACTATTTACATCCGGGGGGTCTTGAGACTCAATTTCACTGGTACTTTTACTGGCACAATCAATTGGATTAGATTCAATAGGGTCTATACTGCTTGTGGTTTCTACATTTTCAGATTCCATTATTTCAGTATCACGTTCACAATTTTCTGCAATATTTTCGTTAGACTCCAAATGTGGCGGCATGTTGTCTTTATGAATTTGACTTTCAGTTGGTCCATTATCTACTTCCATACTACTAAATGTCTCCGGCTCACCATTTGGGGGCCCTCGTGCCTCATTTTGAAGAATTTCAGGACTATCTGAAGAGTGAATTTCATTTGATATTGACTCGAATTCTTTACTATCACTCAAACTTGCTGCATTTTTTGTTACTGAACTATTTTCCGTTGTATCGTTAAGTAAGGATGAATCCGAAGCAGGCTTTTGAAGATCTAAACCATCAACATCCATGATGCCAGTGTTGTACTTAGGAGAATTATAGAATCACAAAATATTTTGTTAAACACACCTGCATGTGTTGACCTTTAGCGTATCCACAATGCAAAAACATAAACAAAAGTGTGAGCACTATGCTAACGTCCAGAAATGATACTTAGAAAAATATAATGGCAATGTGAGTAAAATGTTCTTTCTCGTTGAAAATCCCGGCTTTTTTGGTGTTTGGTTAATCTTCCAGTTGTCCCATTGGTTCCTGGATTTACTTCTAGACGTCTAAGCAACTAATAGCACTCACTGATTAACCACAAATAAATTGATATCAACAATATAACAATCAGATTTTTTAAACTACTTTTACATGACAAAATATACAAAAACTTGTCGTTTAATACCAAGCCAACATAATGGTGGAAAGTTACTAACGGATAGCCAACATTAAAATACAGCACTCCATTTTGTCCCTAGCTTAGAGAACAATTTCGAATTTTGTGCTTGTTAAACATGCATTTCTCTTCGGTAGCTTTTTATTATTCTGAAATACCATCAGCTACTTGGAGTGGTTGAGAAATGTATGCTATTTGTTGCAATAAATCAACATTTAAGTTAGTACCAACCTAATTATGAAGACAGTGGAGTTTCTCAGGCAATTAGGTATACACATCACTTTTTAGCAAACCCTATATATGCCTGAAAGTTTGTAATAATTTTATCTAAATGGCCATTGGTAATGAATCGACTGTAAGTGCTTTTATTGTATTTCATTGATAAACTAAGTATGAAAAGCATACAGAGTGGATCCATAAAACCTGAATAGGAATGACGTCACAATATGGCGTCTTAACCATATTTGACGAATTTTGAGGCTATTTGTAGATTACCCCTATAAACAGCTCAGAGTCAACTGTGTGATAAATTAGGCCTAAAAATGCTAATTAACTAGCTGGAACACTAATTAATAATAATAACTAGCCTCGAACTGCACTTTGAAGAACGCAAACGCATTAAAATAGACCTCAATGACAAAAAGAACTTATTTTGGTAAATGCGCATGTACTATAGGAGAGGATCGAAAAGAAAATATATCGGAACTATCTCACGTGAGGAAAAAGGATAGGCCACTATATCCATCATTGTTTGTCATTGAATCCGTCGTCGTCGTTTCTATTCTAACATGGCCGCATGTTAGTTTCCGATTTTTCTTTATTGTTTGCCAACGAAAGAATAAGATTTAGTAGTGGTGTTTAGTTAACATACATCCATTTGTTGTTATTGAATATTTAGAGCAGTAATTCGAATATTACTCGCTGTTATTTTATATAATCGACGCCGGTTTGAAGGTGCACTCCCAAGGATCCCAAAACTATTTGACCACTTCTATTTTCCTTATAGTATTTTCATTTAATATAACATGCTTCAAGAACATCATATGAGCCAAAGCGGTATGCAGAGAAATCCAAGGTATGTCTTTTAATGTACTAAATCTCCCTTCATCTCACCCTTAAGTAAACTGTCCTAACAGCACTTAATTGTTGTTGCTAATTTTCTGCCAATCTAACTGCTAATTGACCGAGTAATCCCTGCTACACAATGTATTTTTTTAAGTTATTGCCGATATTACCAATAGACGGGCTGTTTTTGCAGGACTAGAAAAACTGCTTAATTTTGTTTGACTTCTACTTTACAGAAGCATCTATTTTCCTTTGATTAAACTTGTTAGTTCATACCAGGAATTTGGAAAAACTTAATCAGCGGGTTTTTTGCCGCATTAACTGAAAAATGCCGCCCTAATTTTTTGTTGTTGTTCCTTCAAAATAATGCTAAAGGATTTTAATTCAAACACCTAATTAACATGCCACTGCGAAACCTTTCGAAAAGGACAATGTACTAGTTTGAGAAGGTTTTTTTACCATCTTGTGAATACGATTTTTTCATCTACTAAATGTCCCTTCGTCTGACTCTTAAGTAAACTGTCTTAACAGCATTTATTTGTTGTTGTTAATTTTCTGCCAATCTAACTGCTAATTGACCGAGTAGTCCCTGCCACACAATTTAATTTTTTTTAAAGTTATTGCTGATATTACCTATGGACGGGCTGTTTTTGCAGGACTAGAAAAACTGCTTGATTTTGTTTGACTTCTACTTTACAGAAGCATCTATTTTCCTTTGATTAAACTTGTTAGTTCATACCAGGAATTTGGAAAAACTTACTTAATCAGCGGGTTTTTTGCCGCATTAACTGAAAAATGCCTCCCTAATTTTTTGTTGCTGTTTCTTCAAAATAATGCTAGAGGATTTTAATTCAAATACCTAATTAACATGTCACTGCGAAACCTTTCGAAAAGGACAATGTACTAGTTTCAGAAAGTTTTTACACGACTAGGAAAACTACAAAATTTAGTTTGACTTTTACTTTACAAAAGCATCTATTTTCTTTTGATTAAACTTGTTAGTTCATGCCGGGAATTTGGAAAACTTGCTTAATTAGCTGATATTTTTGTCGCATTAACTGGAAAATGCCTCCATAATTTTCTGTTGTCTCCTACAAAAAAGTGCCAAAGCATTTTAATTGAAATGAATTAACATTTCACTCGGAAACCTTTTGAAGACGCCCAGGTATTGATTCGATAAGGCTTCTACACCATCTTACAGGCTCAATACGATTCCACCCTTAGTATAAGATTGTATTTTCAATAGTATTCCGACTGCTATTATTTAGAGAGTTGCAAAACATTACGACTTTACTACAGCAGCCATAAGCAAAATGTTCGTGATAATTAATAATAGTACTGAAAAGCATTCGGAACAGGATTTCCATTTTCCAACATATTTTTCAACGGTCAGGACCAGACACAAAATAAATAAATGCGCGAAAACTTAGGTAGTAAACATTTTTTAAATACATTTCTGAACGGTGAAGATATTTTTAAAAATATTCAGGGACAAATAGTAGAAATTGAAAATTTTCCGACTGTAAGATACAAACCGCACACATATAATCTGTTAAATGCTGTTTCATCTCAGAAAATGTAACTAAGTATTTTATTTGCATATGGCTTTAAAACTTTCCTCCTTGAATATTTTATAATTCCGTATTAATAATTAATAAAGAAAGCACGGTTCCTAAGACGCTGCTCTGAGACCTTTTAAAATGAAATCAATGAAAAGCGAAAAAGGTTGAAAATTGACTCCGACTCAAACCGACCCCTATATTATCCACTTTTGAGTTTCACATTTCAATGAAAACTACAATCAGCCACTAATATTTATTGATGAGTAAATTCAACATTAATAAAACTCGATGTATTAAAATAGTTTCTGTCTTATTTATTTAAGTAATATTGTTTCAGACAAAGCGTCTCATTGTGTTGGAATTGCAATGTGTTCATTTCCATCTGGTTAATAAACATTAGCAGCGATACCGGTGATCAAGTGCTAGAGATAACGCAAAGAAATCCTATCCTGTTAATTAAGTTTTTGAAAAAGTATTTGACGAGAAAAAGCAAATTCAACTGTAAATACGAAAATGTATCCAAGAAGTGATTAGCTCTTTAGCTTAAAACAAATAAGGGTTTCAATATTAAAAGTGGGTCTCAACTTTTAAAAAATCGTCGATAAAGAACTGTTAGATCGAATCGGTTTTCCAAAAAAAAATATGTTAAAGAGGAAATTATGTGCAATCCTATGCTTGCATATATTCCTATATCAAATAAATTACGTAAATAACTTATTTTGCTGTTGCTTGCATTCCTATTATAAACAGCTTCAAGTTGTCTCTTGGATTGTCATTACACATTTCGAGTCGTTTCTCCTTCATACTTCATAAATATTTATTGATCGCTTCATATTCTTGATTCCGTTTTTACTGTTTTTGGAATTACACTGATCTTTATCAATTATTCTTCGTTCTTAAAATTATTTTTAATTATCTGAAGGTCCGAATTTCTGTTCTATTTCTAGGTTTCGCTAGTTAGGTAACTTAAACTTGATATGTTTGGCTCTTTTCCGTATTATGCTCCAGAAAAGTAATGAACATTTTATGCCACGAAATTCCAAACACCGACCTTTACTGGTTTATTTAAATTTTATGTACATATTATCTAAAGTCGTTTTTTTATGCTGGAAAATATTGAGAACTATTTAAGTGAATGTGTTATAGATTTTTTCTATTACCTCTGTTTATGTCTTGGCAGATAAGTACATAAATAGCCTAATCGATTGCGTATTATGCAACACCTACGTAAATATCATTAAAATTTTAGAAGGTTTGCGAGAAGTTAATGCTTTATTTCCTCTAGATTGGGGATGCAGCAAATGGGTCCACCTCCAAATCAAAGAGCATCCATAATGATGAGTCTACCAGCAACTGGTAAGCATTTTTACGCACAATTTTGTATATTTATGAGAAATTATCTAATTAAACTGAATGGCACTTAGAGGTAACACAATTGCATTAGAAAAGCTACTGGTGATCTGTAGAATAGGGCTTTAGCTAAAGTTCTTTCTCGTTAAAGTTTTTAAAGAGACGAAATTCGCTAGCAGCAGATAAATAATAACATTTTAAAGTATGTACCGATTTACCGACAGTTTGCAAGCAAGATGAAAAATACAAATCTCCAGGGGGGCTGAAACCACCCTGAAAATGTTTTTTGCATTTTTGCAACCCCGTGGCCTGTGACCCCCTCATTGAAGAGCTCGTGGAAAGAGTACTGATCAAATTTGGGTTTTAAGCACGTTTGAGGGTTGCATTAAATAAAACTAAGTTATAAAACTTATTTTATTTTCAAACACCTGCTAGATACTTCATTCCCTTTAAAGTCTACTCTTATACGCTCACAGACAAAAATATTGTTATAGAGTTTTTGTGTTTATTTGTTTTGTATTAACTAACAGTATTACTGTTATCAATTACGAGCATATAACAGGCATATCATACATTGGTTTCATGTTTCAGCAAGCCATTTCCAGGGATTGATTTCTTGTTTATGTTGTTTAGATTAGTAGACAATGCGACATTTAATCCAGTGTTGACGAAATTGTTAGTTTGAATTTATGAGGTTTGCCGGCAAGAATGTATCGCGCGGATATTGTATGTTTATGAATCGATGTTTTGTCATAGAAATTTGTCGTAAAACCGGACACTGATATTGATAAACATTTAAAAAAGCCCAGTGAAGAGTGTAGAAGTGCGATTTTTGGGAATGGATTATTTGTAAAATTGCTCTCCCTTTTGTAAAAAATTATCATCAGATAGCCATCATAAGAAGACCACAGAAGATCCCTTTAAATTCAAAACGTCCTGCTAGATGCTAATCGAACGGCACATCAATGGGGGTAAATCCATTTTATAAATAAAACATGAATCCCCTTGCTGATCGAAACTTAAGAATGGATTCAACTCTTGAAGGCCGTCCTTAATCTTATTCGGTTTTTATTCGCCACGACAACTTTGTGCTGATGCCTGGCGCTCGAAGAAGGGTGCAAATATGAAGCTCGAAGAGTGCAATTTTTTCTGGAAATATTATTATGGGGTTTTTGATATTGTTTTAAATTAAAACGCATAGTCAGTCAGGCTGTTTTATTCATTCCTCTGCGGGTCTATTGGAAAACTTCAGTTTTGTAAGTTTTTCGGTTTTATCACACGTGAAACACTTCGGTGCAATAAAAACGGCTACTCAAGCGATCAAGGCTATCAATCAGTCTTGAGTAATTAAATCTCCAAGCATTATTATTTAGCCACAGGTACTTCAAAGGCTTTAAAAAAATATTACTTGTACACTAACTATTGGAACCAAATGGAAGTTTGCTGAGTGGAAGTCAGCTGGATAATAGTGATGTCGATTTACGTTACTTTATGAGCAACGCAGTAGGTACTCGTTTTTGTTGCTCTGAGATAATGCAATCCGTTTCGAAATTCGTCACTGTGTTTACTGCATTTTACGTTTACAAAATTTGTTTTATAAAAACAAACAAACAAACAAAATACGACGTTACGTCAACACAACTTATAAATACATTTTAATCAGATACGATGGCATTTTATTCCCAAAATACCACAATGGAAATTGTAGGATACTTTTTGAATAATTTCAAAAGTGTTTGTTGTGCGAGTTTTATTTATGGAATGTATAAAATACATTTTAGACTGTTTAATATAGGTACTTGATAGCAAAGGTATTGGAATTATTAAAACTAATACGCTTTTCTTAATATAGAGTACAATAGGTGAATATAATTCTTCTAAAAGTTGTTTTATTTTCCAAACATTTATTTTTTTAGGAAAGCCACACCATAGTGCGCAGATGAATTTTTATGTAGTATAATTTTAACTGAGATGCAAAAAAGTTAGGGTTTGCCAACTTGAAAAAATATTTTTTGAAGTTGTATTTCTTTGATTTTTGTTTTTTTGATTCACTTGTAAGTTTCTGTCATACATCTAAAAAGGTATCATAAAGAAACTATTATACCAAAAACGAGGTGGTTTGAGCGAGAGCACTTAAGAAAAACAGAAGTTCTCTCGTACAGACTGTAATCTATTGATGATTGCTGGGAAAAAATAGTACCTTACAATGTTATTTATAGGCGTACTTGTATCAATGCCGACTGGTCCGGGGCCGGCCTTAATTACCACTGCATCTATCCCACAACAGCCTCAACCCCAACAAAAACCCATGCAACAGCAGCCTCCAGTTTATCATTATGAAGCGCTTCCCACACAACCGCCACAGAATCCTCCTCCTAATGGTAAGTTTCTCTTGTATGAGTTCCAGTACTATCACATCGTTTTTTGCTAAATGGATTATCATTTCAGTCACTCGAAACGGCTATCAAATTAAGGTGTGGACTTCATTTGTTTCGTCTAAAACTAGCTTATTTTAAAAGCAAATTTCAACTTGAACTTGTTTTTAATTCGTCTATAATTTAACTTTTAGGTGTGACGCGAATGGTAATCTATAAGCGAACAATCTATTAACAACATTGAGGGAGATAGATTTTTGGGTCTATGTATGTATGGTGAGCCAAATATTTCAGTTTCAAAGTTGATGGCCACATTTAACTGTTCATTATTTCTGGGTGTCTAAACCACTTGAATTCTTTTAAAACTGATAATTGTTTAATAATCGAAGGAAATAAGGAATTTTTTTGAAATTTTCAATTAATTGCCAAACTTGAGAACAATCTTCATCAGAAAAAAATGCGCAATGCCATAAGAACATTGAGTACTGAAGTGAATTCATAATGAAATTATTATTAGGTTATTAGCATCAAAAGAACCTTGATTTCTAGTAGAACCTGATCATCAACAGCAGTCTCCACATATGAACAATCAGGATCAACAACAAATGAGTCAACACAGTCCAAACACGAGTACTTCTTCTGCGCCCAATCCTCCTTTGGCAAACATAAAAGAAAAAACCCCCATGTGTTTGGTAAATGAATTAGGTAAATTTGACGACAATAATGGTGTTTGGTAACTGCGAATTGCACGTTTTATGACAACAGCAAGGTACAACAAGATTCAGCATCAATATCGTCTGACTGGCGAGCAAGGGCCGGCACACAAGAAAATCTTCACCGTAACTCTCAAGCTCGGGAAAGAAGAATATGAAGCCGAAGGCCCCAGTATTAAAAAGGCCCAACACTCCGCCGCCGCTAAAGCATTAACCAAGACAGAATTCAAGCACCCACCACCCAAATCCATTCTCAACAGGCCTGGTCATCGACGACAAAATGCCATTGTTACTCCCACTGTTGAATTAAACGCCCTCGCTATGAAGAGAGGAGAGAGAGCCGTTTATGTTCTGGAGGGTGGAGCTCCTCCACATCAGGTAATAAACAAGCATCATTTTACTTTGTGTGTTTTTCTTTATGGTCTCAATTCTTATTTTGTGTATTGGTTTTTTCTACTTTATTTTATTCCCTTGTTGTGATGAACTGGACTATTTTATTATAATTATAAGCCATATCCGAGATTCAGTTTATCTTTGTAGCACCACCGTTAACGTTTTTTTGGCTGGATTGGTTGACTTTCGATTCCATTCAATTCTCAAAATCTTTAATATTTCCCCAACAGACATTTTTCCAAACAAAACTGGATTTCCAATCCAGACTTGGAAGAGAAAGTCAGCATTTATTTCTCACACGCAAAAGCACATGTTATATAATTGCCAAGACTGTTCCGATTGCTTGCAACTTTTTTGTTGCTGTTAATTGTAAATGTTTGGAAAGTGTATTTAGCGCGTTTGTGCATTGCAAAATATCAAATAGTATGCGATTTAATGAAGAAGACATGCAAGGGAACCACTGTTTTGTTTTATGTTTTTCAGTTTTAAGCAACAGGTCTTATTTTAGGGTTATATGAATCAACCGGGTTATTTTCCAAGACACAGTTTGAATTATCCACAGGCCCAGCAAAGGTACGGTGGCTTCGATGCGCGCCGAAACATGAGGAACTTCCACTCTTATGATAACAGATATTACGGCCAGTATCGACCGGCGATGCCTCATCATAGTCAGGGAGATCCTTATTCAGTTAGACTGCGAGTTGGAGATCGGGAGTATCCAGGTACTGCTGACTATGGTAATTTACCCTTTCTATTGGTGTTGTAGATAAAAATTGAACTAAAAATGCCCCTCTTTGTGCACTGAAGACGTTTTGGAAACATATGAATAGCTAAGTAACGCCGCTCAAATGCAAATGATTTGGAAGTAAAGTGTAACTGAGTATTCTGAATTTGTGGAAAATTTGTATAAGCACTTTGTCCAGGTCATGAGACATCAAATTTTTCGTTTATTTAGGACATGGTCCAACTGTACAAGCAGCCCGTCATGATGCAGCCGCCAAGGCAATTGACCATATTAAACAGTTAGGTGGCATCGACAGTCCTGATACAAATGGTACTGACAATGGTCACATAGCTGACCAAGCGCAAACTTCTTTTCAAAACGATGTAAATTCTGAGTTAAAGTCTCCCATATCGCTGGTATATGAGATTGCTTTAAAGAGAAACCTGAACGTCATTTTTGAAGTTCTGAGCGAGAAAGTATGAAAATAAATTTTTATTAAATAATACCGGAATATTGCATGTTCGTTGTTTTGCTCCAGGGACCACCGCATATGAAGGTCTTCATAACTTCATGTCGAGTGGGCAATTTTATTGCCGAAGGGGAAGGGAATGGCAAGAAGATCTCTAAAAAGAGAGCAGCAGAAAAAATGCTTGAGGAACTCTCCAAACTTCCTGCCCTACCCAATATGACTAATATAACTCAATTGAAGCGAAAACGGGTTGCTAACAAGAAAAAGACAAGGAACCTCATCAAGGTGCAGATATACTTAAAATGCATCTCACCAATAATGTTCGTGGAATGTTCGTTTAGGTGAATATGGACAAACCTTCAGAGACCACTGAAGAGATCAACCCGATTTCCCGTTTGATTCAAATACAGCAAGCGAATAAAGAGAGAGAACCGGTGTACACGGTTTTGGAAGAACGAGGTGCGCCACGTCGTAGAGAATTTGTAATCGAAGCCTCTGTAAATGGTCATTCTTGCACTGGAGTGGGACCTAATAAAAAGGTAAATGTTGATATTTTTGTTTACACAGGTGTGGAAGGGCTTCAAGCTTCCTGGTTAGGGCCATAAAAGAAGGTAGGCCAAGATTACACTTTAACTGATCGAAACACCATGACAAAGATACAAGGGACTTTTTACTCTTTTAAAATTAAAACATGAATAAAGTCAGCATTGAGAGCAATCAGATTCATCATTGGCCTATTCGTGCATTCAATCTCCTCTATAAACGGATGAATATCAACCCAATTTGGTCACCCCGTATATAATTGTTTCACTTACAATTTTGTATTTACTTAGGTTGCAAAACGCAACGCTGCGGATGCTCTTCTCTCAGATTTGGGTTATACATCATCACTATCGAAATCGCCACAACCAAAAGCTGAGAAAGACGATCAATCTGTCATACAAAATGAGAAAAATCGGAAAGTAACTTTCGTCGAAGAAAAGTTGGAAAATCAACAGGCTCAAAATGTGGGCGGCAGTGGTGGCCGACAGCTGGTTCCTGGAGTTTTGTTGGTAACTGAACAAAATGCAGGGTTTTCCAAGCCGAAGAGTGAACCGATGGAATCTCCAAAGCCGGTCCAACCAGCTCCCCTCAAAAATCCACCACCAGGCGTTCGTTCCAAAGATCAACTAATGTATTTGGCGCAACTCATGAATATTCAGGTAAAAGCACTGTTGGCATTTTTTGTCATTAACATTTTAAAAGTGAGGAGATTGTCTTGATTGTTGAATGGAAACTGGGTATTTTGGGGAATTTTGAGCATCGGTTTTGCGTGGCTTTTGAAAACCTCAATTTTTACGCCACGCTTTCATATTCAGCATGAAGAGTTGTTCGGACAGATCAAGGAAAGCGTAAAAATAAAACGAACTGAATTTTTTTCGAAGATTTTCAACTCTTTACCTCGAGGAGGGTGATCAAATACAAAAGAAACTTTTCACACGAACGAAAAACCGAATTAAAACGAGCTCTTACTATCACGATTGGTGCTATGGACTAGAACGGAATAGAATTTCACATCGGGAAAGTTGGAGCATTCGTCGGACACTTTCAAAAAGCCTTGGGTACCACCAAAAACCAAAAGTGGCGCTCAATGATATTTAAATTTCTGAATCGAATTTTCAATTCTCTATCGATATAACGACGCCAAAACGAATTTTGTGGCTCAAATGGGGTTGAAAACTTCGATAAAAGTAGTCATGTTTGAGTCGATTATGCAATAAAAAAACACGCAAATCTAAAACTTCGTGAAATCAAGACTTTTAGGAAAACTGCCAACATTTCCTTATCAATAGTTCACTTTCTAAAAATGCCATTTAGGTCTCTCTGGATTGATGTAAAAAGGAGCGCTCTTGCTCTGCATTTTGCTTCTGAGAAATGAGCAGAAACGGGACGGAAAACATGAAATTTTGGCATAATCTGCAAAGTGTGATATTCAAATTTCGCTTTTTTGGGTTAAAACTAAAAGTGGATCCGCCCCTGTACGACACCATCAAAATACCACACGCTTGTAAATGCAAGGGTGGAAAGACCGATTTGATCGATATACTTTTTCGAAAAAAATAAAGATTATATTATTATTATTTAAAATTGAAAAACGGAGCATTGCAATTCATTAATGGTTTATTTTTTCTTGATGCCCATCTTAATAAGTTTAAAAGGAATTCAAAAAAGGTCCTTTTTGTTCAACATCTATTTCTGATTTACTTGATTTGTCCTTCACCACTCTTCATCCTATAATTTTGTTCTGAAACCGAAAATAGCATTTTACCGTGGTAGGTCAAATCAAAATGAAAATGACAATAACCCTGATTAATTACGGCCAACTTTATCTCCGTAATTCCAAATCCACGGAGAAGTACATTTGAGAACCCTTTCCTAGGTGCATTTTTCTGACTTTCCTAAAGCGAATCATGAGATGTACTTGACGCTGGTTTCTTTGGGAACGAATCCACCTCAGGTATGTCATGGGGAAGGACCCACCACTGAAGCGTCCCACGAAAAAGCTGCTTTGGAGGCTTTGAAGGTGCTTTCTGAATTGGGTCTTGATATTGCCGCCAATAAAGAAAATTCCCAAAATGAGTAATTCATGAACTGGTGTAATCGTCACTTTGGTGAATCATTCGTACGTAATCTCAACATCAACAATCAAATTGGATTCATGTGCTTAGAATGTTTTGCTGAATAGATGTTATCTTGTCAACTATAGCTTGTTTTCCATTATTCGAATTAAAAAAAAATCGTGTAATGCTTTCGATACGATGTAAATGATCGTTTGCTTTAAAAAATGTATCTTTAAATTATTATTGAAACTCTGATACGTTTTTTAAATAGAATTTTAGTGAATAAGAAAGGAAATGCAAAACAGGCTATTAACATTTTCCTTAGTCTATTCATTTATTGGTTCTATGTGGCTATATCAATGAACTACATTAGTTTAGGAAATTGGCTCACTATTTTCCAATTTTCAGGGAAAAAATCCGGTATGATTTGTACTACAATTGTTTATAGTTTATAGTCATTGTTATTGAAATTTTCATTGGTACAGTCATGTTGAGCAAGGAGTTGCATGTGGCCATGCGACAACAATATGAAGAAATCATGTACATTTTAAATAACGTAGAATTATCACTTAACTTCTTATTTATGTAATCATTTAACATATTTAGATATATGAAATGATTTCATATACACATAATTCTGGTTATTGACGCTTCGGCACTTTATATTTACAGTGCCCACCGAATTTCGTTTAAGTTAAAGGGCGACCGAAAACGAAATCGGGACAGTAGTTCAGAATTGATTTGCTTCAGAAAATTCATTAATTTATAAATGCTAGTCACTGAATCTTGACCCAACTTTGTAGTGTTAGTCGGATTTGCTTCAAAATTATAAAATTATTTACGGCATTCATAGGTCCGGATTAACATCCCTCTTTAAGTAGAGGCAAGAGTAAGTTTGAAGTAAATTGCCTTCGGGTAGCGAAGCAGTCCACTACGCTGATAAAATTGTCAAAAGAGGTAGAAAGTATAGACGCGATAAAGAAAAAAGTTGTGCATATTTCAGGCAATTCTGATCTGCTGATTCACCTATTTGTAGATTGATTTCATTATTCTGGGGGCTTTGTGTTCATAAAATTGTTTCTTTTATTGTTCCGGTGTAATAGGGGTTAGATGTGTTCAAATGTGAACGATTTTATTGTTTTATTGTAGCTCTAATACGAGTTTTAAACGTTACTGTGACTATTAAATAATTTATTAAGGAACGTACCTATAGTAAGCTATTGCCTCATTTGAATTTGAAATCAATAAACATTATCACACATTAATCGTATTTTTTAATAAACCTACACACCCAAATGAGTAGATTTTGGGTTGACAAGTTTTGTCAAATGGCAGTTTGTTCCGTTTTTTCTTAAAAGTTTCATCAATATTCTCGTTGAAGATCGAGACAAATGTTTTCACAATTTGTGAAGTGAATTTCTAGTTTTCGTGTTTTCACGTGCGGGAAAACTTTGATTGTTTCGGTGAGTTTTAGACGCGAAGTTGATCTATGTGGTACCCTAGTTTCTGTCGACATTGATAGCAGTTGACACTAACTTTTTTTAGCCCTGTGTCATTTGGCAAGTTTCTTTGTTCGCGATTTTCATAGATTTAGGCTGCTGATGGTTTAAAGTTTCATTGAATTACTCCTGCGGTAAGTAGCAGTTTTGACCATCGACTATAGTACTTATTATCTACAGTTGGGTTAGTTGATATAACGAACTTGAAAAATGAACTAAAACTGGTTCGTTATATCCGGATTTCGCTATAAGCGAATAATAATACAAAAACACGTGGTGTATTTTTCGTTATTTTTACATAGGGTAGTAGAAGTTAGTAGGTATGACTAAAAAGAACACAAAAAGATAAACAAAATTCAATTTGAAATCTACTTCACAAAGTCTGTAATTTTTGTTTGTACATTTCTGCTGCAAAAATAGATGTTATTTATGTAGTTTTCAAGATCACAAAA